GGGGGGGGGGGGGGGGGGGGGGAGTTCTTTGATATGTCTTGTCAAGATTTTGTGAATATTAAACTTTGAATAAGGTGTAGAAACAAGATACCTTAAGAAATGTTGTTTTCAGATTTGTAATTATAGCTACTTTAAACTATGATAATGGAAATAGATTGTTTACTTAGAGCAAGTGAAGATTTAAGTGTTTAATGTGTTTGTTGAAAGAGACCAATGATGATCTGCCTTTGCTAATTACAACCGGACACATGTGGTGTCTGTGCTGTAAACAAAAGTTGCCATGGTGACTTATGCTGAAAGCTATGTGCAGTGGGCCATCTGAGGTCAAATTCAAGTGTCCTAGGTTTAAATATATCCAATATAGAATCAAAGCGTTACAGAAAAATCTACCACTTGTTGAAGTGTTGATAATGAAACATATATTGATTTTTTCTTGTGTATGTTACACAATTTGAAAATAGTCTATCATGTTTGTATTTATTATTTCCCTTTTGGTTTTCAGGACAGGGATGCCAAATTCCGTCTTATCCTTGTAGAGAGCCGAATCCACCGTCTGGCTAGGTACTACAAGAGGAAGAGGGTTCTTGCACCAAACTGGAAATAGTAAGTAGAAATTAGTACAAATTATGTTGCAAATAGTCCATCAATTTCATGATAAGCTGCTGCATACAATAACATTAAATCATTTCCTCTCCCTGATAATCCACACATCCAGAAATAATTTGCAGAATTAACTGTTCTGAGCTGTCGTATCCCAACAATTGAAGCATGTTGAGATTTTGTAGTTAAGAAGTATTCACAGTTGAAAAACTTTTGTCGAAAACAGATTTTGTTGGCGCTTCAAATTTCTTGTTTGGCATAAGAAATTTACCATAGATAGATCTGTTACTTCCCAGTTACTTCTTCCTCTTGTGTAATCATATTTTGTCTTTGTGTGCAAATCTTGCATAATCACTTCCTATATTCTTACTTTGGTAGCCACAAGATGAACTAATGTGGTGTTGTGTTTCTCATTGCAGCGAATCTGCGACAGCCGCCGCCATGGTGCAGTAAAGACCTAATTTTAACTGTAATAAATGTGATGCCAGTCGGGAATTTGTCTTTCGGGTTGTCTTATTTTCAAGAAATTCTTAAACCTTCTCGTGCAGTATTTTATGCACACGTTAGTATAATTTCAACTGCAAAACAAATATGATTTGGAAATTCAGTTCCTTGTTGCAATTATGTAGGGAAGGTAAAGATTTTTACATTGCTTAAATACAACAGAAATCAATGTTTCAACAGTACTTGTTTAAATTATACACAGGAAAACACCAAATCTGAGTATGTTATGGAAGTTTGGTCAAAATCCTCGGAGCCGTTAAGGACTAATCATTTCAAATGAAAAAGTTGACAGACGATGCGGCATGGCATGTCTGGTTAAAACTGACCTTCTTAAAAGAATCTTGAAGATCATGTCAGAAAAATTATTGTCAAAGTGGGTGTGCAGGCCCCATGGACTAATTGGAGAATCGTCACTTTGCAACCCAAATCTTGTTCATTTTGAGGGCTGGTCAAGCTTGGATAAATCCATAGTTTACAGACAACATCAATATAAATTCAATTCAAAAGTATTTGCTTGACAATACATATATAATACAAACAGATAAGATGTATATATTAAAGAAGATGTTGGTACAATATTGACAAAATAATCGGACAACGCGATAATAACGAGAGCACCGCAAACAGATGCACAATACGTACGTCTGACCCTATCTAATGAATTTTTGTTTGTTAAATTAAATCCATATTGTCCTTGATAAACCCCACGTGAACATCCATGCCAAAAATTAGGACAATAACACATGATCTGACTGAACTGTACACCTCTGAAAAAACTTGCACCAAAACTTTGGCCGATAAATTCCGCGCGAAAAGTGAACTCCCAAAAATAGGAATTATTTTTCCAAATTAAATCCATATTGTCCTTTTTAGACCCCATATGAACATCCATTCCAAAAATTAGGACAATACCACATGGTCGGACTAAATTGTACACCACTGGAGAAAACCTCGTCTACCCCATTTCCCTTCTCCTTTCTAAACTCACATTCAGTCATCCCCAGCTGCTCTGTATTAACTGCCCGTATATGAAAGCCCTTCTCGCGCCCCCAAAATCTGATCTATATCCTCCTTAGTAGGTAATGATGTTGGTGCGTGGAGAGCTGCCATAGGCTGTTTTCACTGTAAAGTTGCACACATTTTAATAACCTACACTTACAAAACATACCCTGCTGATTTTCTAAATATTTTTGAAGTCAATGCCAAATGTTGGTTATTTACAACATATTTGTTTTTTACAACAATCTTATATCAATTATGTAAACATATTCTTTCCTATGATAATACATCTTCCAACCATGGTCCAAACTAGTAATATGGCGGCAACCCATTCACTGAATCTTGTGCATCTAAATTACACTAGAAGTATACGAACAAAATAAGCTATATTAAAGCATTGACCGACGATGTCTACATTCTTTGTATAACCGAAACTCATTTGAATCCTATTACTAATGAAGAAATTAAGCTACAGGGCTTTAGTGACGAACCGTTTCGAAAAGACGGGAATATTTTCGGAGGGGGTGTATTGTTATACTATTCTCCATCTTTCGTAGTTAAAAGAAAACCTGAGTTAGAATTTACTAATATCGAAGTAATATGGGTACAAGTTTATTTGAATAAAATTACACATTATTCATATAATAGGTAATCTATACAGACCACCTAATCTAAACTATTCTGACGGTATATGGCAGAGACTAAAACATTCCCTCGACCTGGCATTCGATATTACAGTTAATGTTATGTTGATGGGCGATCTAAATGTTGACTTTTTAATATCCTCCAGAGACGAATTATTCAACTTACTCACTTTGTACCAGATATAAAATATTATAACCGAACCTACCAGAATAACGGACCATTCAGCAACGTTATTAGATCCAGTAATTGTCAGTTACACAATCAACACTTTTTTTAGTGAAGTAATTAATATAGATGAAAATATAAGTGACCACAATGCTGTTTTTACAATAATTGAGGTACCGAAACAAACCCCAACAGTTTTCAAACGAAAGGTATGGCTATACGACGAAAGAGACATTGAACAGCTTAAACGTTTTATCACAAATATATCATGGGAAAACCAATTTAATACGTTTAATGACGTTAATGACGTGTGATTATATGCATACCATCTAAATATGTGCAGATCAGAATTGTTAGAAGACAAATACGTAATAGAGATCGATTAGAAAAGATACTTATAAATAATAATAATGATTCTAATAGGATGAAATATAAGCAATCAAAAAATAAAACAAATAATATGATAAAACGAGCAATAGAACTTTTCTACGAAAATATCAACTCTATGATGGTCAAAAGTAAATCTAACCCCAAAACATACTGGAAATTGTTAAGGCTTGTACTGAAAGGAAGCAAAACTACTGATACATCACCACTTTTTGATGACAATTCTAACGAATTCACGAACGAAAATAAGCATAAATGTGAACTTCTTAATAACTATTTTTCTTCAATATCCAGTCATTCCGAAGTAGACTAAAACAAACCTATTCCCATTTTAGAAAAACGAACACACTCTTTTGTCCGAAATTCATATCATACCTTCTGAAATAGTTGATGTTATTAACATACTAGATGTAAATAAGGCAACAAGGCCTGACGGAATCAGTCATCGTATGTTCAAACTTGTAGCAAATGAAATTGCCATTCCCCTTTCCCTCATTTTTAATCACTCCCTATTCAAAGGTATATATCCCGATAAATGGAAATTAGCAAACGTCATGCCGATCTTTAAGTCTGGCGACACTCGTAATGTTTCGAATTATAGACCAATATCATTATTAAGCTATGTCGGGAAAAAAATTGAACTTGTAGTCTATAAACATATTTACAACTTTTTTTAACTCTTACAATCTTATTTACAAATTTCAGTCTGAATTCTTATCCAATCATTCTTGTACGCATCAACTCATTGAAATGTACCATTCTATGATGTTAGCATTAGAAAACCATGAACATTCAAAGGCCTTCGATCGAGTTTGGCATAGAGGGCTTATATGCAAACTTCATCAACATGGTATTTCAGGCAGTCTTTTTAACTGGATAACAAACTATATTTTTGAGCGTAAGCAAAACGTTTTTATTCATGATTCACATTCTTCTGTAAGAAGTTTAAATGCCGGTGTTCTCCAAGATTCAGTTAGGCCCTTTATTCTTCCTGATTTATATTAACGACATTTCAACGGAACTCTCCTCATTATATCGTCTTTTTGCTGACGATACGTCGCTTTCTTACTCATCACAAAACCTAGAAAATATTGTAAGTGAACTAAATAAAGACCTAAAAAGTCTAGAGAAATGGTCTAAAAATTGGCTGATGTCGTTCAATCCTAAAAAACCCGAAATCATGATTGTTTCTAATAGAAATCTACCATTTCAACCCCAATTTATTTTTAACTATACTTCTATCCTTTTAACAGATAACCACAAACACCTTGGAGTTATACTAAGTAGCGACGGCAAATGGAATAAACATGTAGACGAACTTATCAAAAAAGGGGCAAAATATATAGCAACCCTTCGTAAAATGAAATTGATACTCAGTAGAAATAACCCTGAAAAACTATATTTAACGTACATTCGACCCTTATTAGAGTATGCATGTGAAGTCTGGGACAATTGTGGAATAGCAAATTCATTAAAACTTGAAAATATTCAGATAGACGCTGCACGAATTGTTACAGGACTACCCATATACACAAAAATTGAATATATATTTAATGAAATTGGCTGGGTTCCACTTAGAACTAGAAGGAAAAACAGAAAATTATCCCTATTCTTTACAATTAAAAACGGTACAGCTCCAAATTATTTGTGTGACACCATACCAGATAGCATTGGGGATATTTCCGGTTATAACCTAAGAAATTCCCAACATTTAAGACAACCAAAATTTAGGCTTGAAACTATACGACAATTCTTTTTTCCCCATCAGCTTCAAAAATGTGGAATGACCTAGATATATCTATAAGGAATTCTCAGTTCATTTAAAGCAAATATAAAATTAAAAGGTAAAATACATAATAAATGCTTTTTGATATGAGGGTTCCCGTTAACTAAATATACTTCATTGCCGTTTGAGAAACCGTGCTGGCTCTCTTAACTGACCTATTTTGAGCAAATTTATTTAATACAGCTGAATGTGTGCATGCGGTAATCCATGTGAAGACTCATATCATTTCCTCTGTGTCTGTCCCCTATACTCCCAGCATCGAAATCTATTAATAAGAGAGTTACAACCTGTTCGTGATGATTTCCTGTATGGCGATCTTAAATTCAGCAATGATGAAAATACCTCAAATGTGATAATCTTTCTCTCTCTATTGATCTTTTTTCTCCGACTCTACCTGTGTTACTATCATTTACTTCGTTTCTCTATCCGTCTTTTCTTCCTTATTGCGTAAATTACCTTATCAAGTTATTGTTTATACTCATGTATTTGAAAACGTGCGTCCAATTCTTTCGTAAATATTTATTTGCAATAAAATATGTTTAAATCAAAACTGAAGAAACTTGCACAAAAACTTTAACCGAGAAATTGCGCGAGAAAAGTTAAGTCCCAAACATGTCCAAAATTTCCAAAAAAATCAATTATTTTCCAAGATTAAATCTATATTGTCCTTGTTAGACCCCACGTGAACATCCATGCCAAAAATTAGGACAATAACACATGATCTGACTGAACTGTACACCACTGAAGAAACTTGCACCAAAACTTTGGCCGATAAATTGCACACGAAAAGTTAATTCCCAAAAATAGGAATTATTTTTACAAATTAAATCCATATTGTCCTTGTAAGACCCCACATGAACATCCATGCCAAAAATTAGGACAATAACACATGATCTGACTGAACTGTACACCACTGAAGAAACTTGCATCTAAACTTTAACCGGACGAACGGACGGACGCAAACGCTATACCATAATACGTCCGTCGAATTTCGGAAACTTGATAAAGATATTCAAAGAAACCTCACAAAGCAACGACCCAAAGCTCAATATTCAAAATTCAGAACTTTTGCCTTTTGTTTAAGTTTCTTTCTCGTGCGGTGCTATCCAGTGCATTCTATTTCACCATTGTAGAAGGAAAGAAGCTGTTCATATAAGTAGTACGAAGTTCTTGTCTGTGGTATATTAAGGAATCTGTTATTTCTGAAGCTATAGTTATTATTTACATTTAGAAATGGTTGAATGATATCGTAGAGATAAGTTGGAGTGTAATTATTAAGAATCATATACATTAATGTAAGTTTATGATTTTGTCTTCGTGTGTGTAATGAATGTGATGAGATGTATCTCGTCTGAGGCCAGTAATTATACGCATTGCCTCTAGTTGAACTGATTCTAGAAGACCTGATTCAGATTTGGTACAATTATCCCATACTATATCAGAATATTCTAACACATGTCTTATATAAGAGATATATAATGCTTTTAATATCAATATAAATGTAAGAGGATGATGCGAATATTAACTTTATGTACCAAGTGAATTTTTAGACCAACCAATGCCACTTTAACGTATCTCACTAATCTGGTTCAACCGATTAGTCTGTTTGTAAATGCAACATTTTCGGGTATAAATCCTGATGGACCAGCAAAAGTTCATGCATGCCTAGAAAGACCTTGTCAGGGCTCACATGAATGCAGCATCAGATAACTATAGGTCCGACCTTATTTCATAAACGAACAACTCTGTTTAACCGTATGGATCGCGAAAAACATGTGCGGCCTAGTAATTGATGTTTTCTCACGAGCCTCGGGGAAGACTTTTAAAGTCTTCATTAACATTTGCATGTTAGCAACATTTCAATCCCAACAAAGGAAAGGAAAAGATTGAGGTGTTTTAGGAACTTTGGTGAGAGTGCTTTCTCCACTGACATGGGTCGTGTGCCGTTTCATGTTGCCTATATATTCGATGATATCGACGATACATACTGGGCTCATGAGCGTCTCATGTCTGATGTCATCGATGATCATGCTCCCATCAAGGAGAGGTTAGTGAGAAAGAAGAAATGTCCTTTTTTTAATGCTAAACTCAGAAGAGCTATATATAAAAAAAGAACTCTTTTTAATCGCTATGAGAAATATCGTACCCAATATACTTGGGACGACTATAGGAAACAAAGAAACTTAGTTACTAAAATTAGGAGGCAATCTCTGCAAGCTTATTCCTTTGAACGTTGTTCTTGGGGGGGGGGGGGGGGGGGGGGTCTTCAGGCAAAAAAAGATTTCTGGCCAACAGTCAAGCCCTTCTTATCAAACAAGGGTTTGTCTGGTGACAAGATGATTTTGCTTGAGGAAGGTAATTGAATTATTACAGATCAAAAGGAAGTGTGTAATATTCTGAATGTATAGCGCAGGATATAGGGACTATGGTGGATAATGTAAGTACTAACATAATTTTAGACAGGATACTGGACACTACAAATAATTCTGTTTTCTCTTGTAAGCCTGTATCCGAACACTTTATTAGTCAAACTATCTCTAAATCTAACGTAAAGAAGGCGACCGGAGTAGATGTCATCTCATCTAAATTACTTAAGGCTTGTTGTTCCAATATTAGCTTGCCTCTGTGTACTCTAGTTAACCACAGCATTGCTACAGCTTCTTTTCCAGATAGATTAAAGCAAGCACAGGTTGTGCCGGTCTATAAAAAGAAAGATAACACTGACAAGCAGAATTATAGGCCTGTCAGCATCCTTCCTTATATCTCAAAACTCTTTGAAAAAGCTATTAGTCGAGTGGAGGATTGGCGCTTAGCCCTGGATCGCTATGAGTGTGCTGCTACTTGTGGACTTATCCAAGGCCTTTGACTGCCTCCCCCGCAATCTGCTGCTCAGGAAGCTAGAAGCATAAGGGTTAGACATTAAGGCAGTGAGTCTGATGTCCAGCTACCTGAGCAGCAGGTGTCAGCAGGTAAAACTGGCTTCAAATTGCAGCACCTGCTCAGGTATTCTTAAAGGGGTTCCCCAGGGATCTATCCTGGGCCCCTTCTTTTCAACATATTTATAAATGATATTTTTGATTGTGTTGAAGATTCATCTCTTTACAGCTATGCAGATGATAATACTATAGTTTACACCCATAAGGATCCTACTGTCTTAAAATCCATTTTAGAAAAAGATTGTACTCATGTTATTGATTGGTTTAGTAAAAATGATATCAAAGCCAATCCTGAAAAGTTTCAGGCAATCAGCATTGGAAAACGAACATTTGATAAAATAAAATCTTTTGATATTGGAGGTGTATCTCTTAATTTTAAAAACAATGTCAAACTACAAGGTGTAAATTTTGATTATTTATTGAACTTTGACGATACATATCAGAGCTCTGTAAAATAGCCTCCAGCCAATTATCTGTACTGAAAAGGATAGGGAAATTTCTGTCTAGGGAAAGGAGACAAATTATTTACAACTCATTCCTTGTTTCAAGTTTTAATTATTGCCCTCTTGTTTGGCATTTCTGTTCGGTAAAAGGTGTACGGAAAATGGAAACAAAATCAAGAAAGATCAGTACGTTTTGTATATAGTGACTTTTCGTCTTCCTTTAAACTTTTAGTCCAAAAATTAAACTCTGATTTACTACATATAAGACGTTTGAGAGACATGGCCTGTGAAGTCTATAAAATAGTTAAGAAAATCTCTCCACGCTTTATCCATGATATGATTGAATTTAAGGTAACTAATTATAATTGCAGACAAGAGAATTAATACAGCTGTATTACCTAGGGTCAACACTACAAGATATGGACTGAAATCTTTCTCCTACGAGGCCTCCCGGGTGTGGAACAGTATCCCCAATCAACTCAGAAAAGTAGACAGGTACAATGAACTTAGGAGACTGGTCCAGACCTGGGATGGACCCATTTGCTCTTGTAGTGTCTGCCGCAGTGTGTAGTAATTGTACATGTGGCTAGTCCGCTTTGCTTTGGGTTTAGTTGTGTGTGTTTTATGCTGCTTCTTCGGATTTGTGCGAATGTTTGCTCTTATTATTATTATTATTTTGTTCATTTTATTTATTTTATTTATTTTATTACTATGTTCCGTTTGTTTTACATGTTGTAAATGTGTTTTATATATAGTGCTGATAGTTGAAAATTGTAGCTCATATGTGTATGTGCTTCAATGTTTTATGCTAATATGTATTTTATGGTAAAAATTACTGTCTTGCTATATGTATGCATGTATATTAATTAGCTTATAACTTTGCATGGAGACTTATGTTTTAACACTTTCTGTTTCATAATTTTTTATGTGTAATTTCTTGAATTGATGTTTTTACTTATGTTTGTCGGAATAATAGCTTTTAATAGGTAATGTTAAATGTTTATTGTATTGTATTGTATGTCCGTCAGGTCTTAACCCTTCTCCTATAACATAAGAGGCCGCTGGTCGGCCTTTTTCTATCGCATCGGATATGATTTTGCCGACGGTGACCCTGTCAAATGTATCTCGTCATGTAAACCTCCAACACTGTTTTTCAAATGCATTATTTCAGGGGTTAAGTACCCCTGAAATAATGCATTTGAAGAACAGACAAACCGATGGGTACACATAATTTTACAAAACAAACACTGAAACACTGAAACAGCTAACAGGTCCATGGACTTTTGGACAAAATGAAAGTACAAAGCGAAAGTACTCCATATGTAACGCGAATTTTGATTGGATGAAATAAATCGCCCCGTCGAATCAAACCACCATTTACATGCGCAGCTCGAACATTGTTTACAAAATATGGCGTCCGGAGATTCGTGCTCATCACTCCTCAAATAAAGTAGACGCGAATATACCGGAATCCGACTGGTTCATCGAAATATATTCAAGTAAGAAGGAGTATATGAACGTATGTTTTATACGATGCGATTGCCAATATGGTAATATCGGAGGATACAATATATCGATGTTAACTATGTTCATGTTAATGACGAAAGCATGGGAAGTAACTCGAGACGTTTTAACACATTCCAAAATTAACAAGACTTGGCTTTATCAAATGTTATTTTGTGTTGTGAGATTGAATCATTTTAACGGAGTTTCGCACAAACGTAACTTTACTTTCACAGTTGTGATCTGTAAAAAAAATTGTAGGCCCTACTATTACTTATTTTGATTTATTTATAGAGATGATTATTTCTGACACAGACGTATACGTAACTTAGTAGTCCTAACGTCACAGTACCCAAATCGGGACACTTGAAGGAAAAAGAAATTTGCATGCTGTGCAAAGAAGTATTTTTTAATTGAAAATATTGATTTAAAGATGCTGATATACCAATAAAACATTATAGGAACTTTATTTACTGCCTCTTTAATATGGTTACAATCACAGTTTTAGTTATTGATTGTTTTTCAATTTTTGTATGTGATTTTTCACAATCCTACTATTTCACAACCGATTCGGGTACAGCTACACCTGTTTCGCGATCACGTAACCATGACTATATTTCCGGTTCTCTTTATAGAACCACGCGCCAGAAATATCAACTTGTTATCAAAATGAAAAGATAATGATATCTATTTAGGAAAAGTGAACTAAAATTATTGGGATCGGTACTATGGTATGAAATATATCAATATTTCACTAAAAAGTATCCCGATTTGGGTACTGTGACGTTATATGTTACATAGAGTCCCATCTGTTAATGCTATACATATATGTGTAAGGATGGAACAGCATATTCCAATTCAATTGGGGCATACACATTGAAAAATGCAGATTCAATCCTTATATTTGCATTATAAATTTTTAGTTATTATTTACCAACATACAAATATTCTCTGATGTTTTTGGATATTGAAGTATCTGTGATTCCTGGAATAGCCTTATGTCACCAAGATGTATGTTTGCTTCTTAGGGTTGTCTCATGTAATGCGAGGTGTGTTCATAGTTTCTATAATAATAATAATAATAATAATATACAGTATTTATATAGCGCCCTATATAATTTGTAAAATTACTCTAAGGCGCTTTACAACATATGGATAATAATAATGGTTATAATTGTGAAAACAAACAACAAAGGCTTGCAATCACTTTCATACATTTAACAAGCAATGTGCACATAATTGAACAAATAAAAGGGTGGTATTTACATGACGTCTTTGCAAAGATTCTAAAATGCAGACGTGAAGAGGTGAGTTTTTATGTCCCTCTTGAACTTGGCCAGGGTATTCGACTTCCTAATAGCAGATGGTAAGCTATTCCACAACGTAGCCGAAACCCTCCCAAAGCATCTGTTTCCGTAGGTCACAGTACGAGATTTTGGGACACACAACAAAGATTCTGACTCCGACCGCAGTGATCTTGACGGCTGATACAGGGTAACAAGTTCCTGTAGGTACTGAGGAGCTGTTCCATTCAGTGCCTTGTATGTGTATACCAGAATTTTGTACTGCGACCTGTATCGTACAGGTAACCAGTGCAACGAATAAAGCGCAGGTGTGATGTGCTCTCTCTTTCGAGTACGAGTAACTAGCCGTGCTGCAGTGTTCTGAACCCTCTGCAGACGACTAGTTAGTTTGTCAGATATACCACAGAGCAGGGCGTTATTTCTGAACGCTATTTCTTCTGGTAATGCTTGAAGATAAACTTGCAGTGAATATAATATTGTCATATGATTTGTATATGTAACGGTGTAATTGACAGAACTGATTAAGATACTCATCTCTGAATAATTCCAAGATACCTAACATATACAGATAGTCAAACAAACCTGATACCAATTGAAAGGCTATCGATAGAAGCTTAAAGAAAACTGGACTTAAGGTCATATATTTGTTGGCTTAAAAAAATAATTGCCAGTGTGACTTTGTGTGTTTTCTCTACTTGTAAAGGACCATCATCCCCAACAAGATAAAAACGATCTCAAGTCAACTCCACAATAAAATTCTACAGCTGAAAGTGTCACATTATTGTGATATTTTAAAAAATGTCATTTTTCAAAAGTTCTTGTATTGTCATATCCATCAAAACAAAGCACAATGGACTTCCATACACTCTCTTGGAAAAACACTTGCTGTTTCGTATATGCACTTGGTTCAACAAGGTGACACGCACCAGGAATAGTCTGACAGAATGTTTTAACAGATCGGCTAAAGATAAAGTGAACAAAATTATGTAACATACCTTAAATGTAAATTACCATATAATTGCATTATAGGTGCTATGACGGAAAAGACTAAGAACTCCAGTGTCTGTGATTTTAAATTTGTATACTGTAGTCTACGTACATTACAGGTTGAAACTTTAGTCAGTTGTGTGAGTATTGGAAGGGTATTGTATCATCATGGAGTACTATGACATAGTCCACAGGCTGGGGTCCGGAGGCTGTGGGTCAGTGTACCTTGTCAGACACAAGGACAATAAGAGGTCAGTATTAGTTATGTATGATCATTTGTAGAATTCATTGGTTTTGTTGGTAGTCTTTATCAACGAATTCATGGGTCCACAAAGTAATTACAAGTTTGATATAAAGCAGTTCTCTGTATGAGTGGGTACTTGTAAACAACAAATTCATGTTCCCACAAAATGCTGTTTTGTCAGGAAACCACAAATTTTGGGCCTGATGAAAATTTCTGCGAAAAACATTGTGGCCAGAAAATGAGCTGTGCAGGGGTGGTAACTCTATATTTATACATAATGCGTTTAGCTATTAAGTATGCACGGTACTATCATTCTCAAAATTTCTCTAAATTACCAAACTTACACAGATCAATTTTTTGACCAAGTTTATTACTGCAGTAGTACATGGATTACCATACATGTTATCAGTTAAGTAATGTATACAGGTTCAGGCTTGCCAAGTACTCGCCCCTGACACTTATATCACATATCCTGGTTTGAAGTGAAATCCAGCTTTGCATCTTTCCATGCAAAACTGCTGAAAGTTTTAACAAAGGACTCTTGACTAGTCGATGTTTGTATTACCTGGTATTTTACTAGAGCAGTAAAAGAGAAATAGATATAATATAAACTGAATTATACTTGATAATATCTTATTTATTTGGATTATTTTTTTGACAGGTTATACGCTCTGAAAAAAATTGAGCTTGATGAAAGGAAAAAGACCAGGACAAAAGAATCAGTTCAAAAAGAAGCTAGGTAAGTATAGAAAGTATTTATTAACAGTGGTCTAATACAATTAATGACTTATCGAAGGAAATATACATTTGACACATAAGTAAAGTAAATGACCAAGGTTTACATGACCAGTATATATCCTCGATCAATAAAGCAAAAGATGATCCTGTTCTTTGTACATTTACAAGGATTTTCCTATTCTCTGTCATCAATTTTGAGTTCATGTTACATTTACTTCTCTTTGGTATCATCTTGTTATCTTATAGGAATGATCTAGTTTATTATAAGTGTATTTGTTATAAACTTGTTTGACCATCAAATATCCAGATCTAAACAAGTGAAGCTGTTTTAACATTTAACTCACTATTTCATATTGCTAGTTTAAAGATCTCTGTCCCACTGCAGGCAAACGCTAGAGAATATTCCAACAAATGTAGCAACCTCCCCTTAGTTTTATTTTTAGCTCTCCTGGTCTGAAGGACCATGGTGAGCTTATGCCATACCTTACTGTCTGTCGTTCATCCTTCAACTTTTCATTTGAAACACTACTAGTCCTGAACGACCCAGTAAATTTTGTCTAAATTTAGTCTGGAGCATCCTTAGGTCAAGGGCACTCAATTTTGAATAAACAGTGGGAGTGACCCCCTGGGGGCAAAGGGGTGTGGGAGCAAAGGGGTGTGTCCAAATAGTGGAAATAGAGGTATAACCTTTAAAACCCTTCTTCTACTGTAGGGATAAAGGGATTTTATTCTAATTTAGTCTGGAGCATCCTTGGGCCAAGGGCACTCAATTTTGTATAAACAGTGGGAATGGCCCCCTGGGGGCAAAGAGGTTGGGCCCAATAGGGGAAAAAGAGGTAAATCTTTATAATCCTTCTTCTACCACAGGGAATAAAGGATTTCATCCCAATTTGGTCTGAAGCATCCTTGGGCCAAGGTATTCAAGTTTGTATAAACGGTGGGTTTGGAACCCCTTGGGGCAGGGGGCTTGGCCCAATAGGGGAAATAGAGGTAAAACCTTGGAAATCCTTCTTCTACCATAGCAATTAATAGATTTTATCCCAATTTGGTATCTCGCATCCTTGGGCCAAGGGGACTCAATTTTGTATAAATGTTGGGTGTTGCCCCCCCTGGAGCCCCTAGAGGGGTGGGGCCCAATAGGGTAAATAGAAGCAAACCTTTAAAATCCTTCTTCTTCCACAGGGATTAAGGGATTTCATCCAAATTTGGTCTGGAGCATATCCTTGGGACAAGGGGACCAAATTTTGTATAAACAGTGGGTTTTCCATGGGGGCAGCGGAGCGGGGCCTAATTGGGGAAATAGAAGTAAAACCTTTAAAATCCTGCTTCTACCTTAGAGATAAGGGGATTTTATTCTCATTTCATCTGGAGCATCCTTAGGCAAAAAAGACTCAATCTTGTATAAACGGTGGGTGTGTGGCCCCTTTGGGTGCTAAGTCGCGGGGCTCAAAAGGGGAATTTGATGTTTAAATCTCTAAAATCCTTCAATCTACACTTTCTGTACTATTGGAGCGATTTTATCCAAATTTGGCCTGGAGTATCCCTTTGTCAAAGGGGACTAAGTTTTGAATAAACCGAGGGTGTTGCCTCATTGGGTGCAGAGGGGTGGGGCCCAAAATGTGAATTTGATGTTTAAGTCTTCAAAATCCTTCTTCCTCTGTACCATTAGAGGGATTTCATCCAAATTTGGCCTGGAACATCCTTGGGCAAAGGGGACTCAATTTGGTATAAACGATGGGTGTGGACCCCCTGGGGGCAGAGGAGCGGGGCCAAATAGGGGAAATAGAGGTTTAATTCTTTAAAATCCTTCTTCCTCTAGACCATTGGAGGGATTTTTTGTAGAAAGAATAATTTCCCATGGTTGCTTTTTTATCCAAGTGAGCGATACATACAGGCCCTCTGGTCCTCTTGTTGAAATAACTTTAGCGCAATTGCTGAGTTAGTCAGACAGTACATGTATAATGATTGGAGGTCTAACCCTGGTCAGACTCCAATTTCTTTACAAAACATGAACAGATTGCCTGGTGTTGAACATTTTGTCGAAAAAAATGATGAACAGAAACCCTAAACATAATTCAATGTAAATAAAATGTCATTGGAGGCATGCGTTGTGACTCAAACTTGTACTGGTATACATATACATTTCAGTCCCTGTATAAACACTAGGAGGAGGAATTGTAAGCGGTGTCATTTTGACACTTCTGTGTTGCATAAGAAGCAAACAATGAAATAATGTTAAACTGTTCTTGAATATCCTTTGCACTGACAATGCAAATACATGTACTTCAAAACAACATAAATCAGGGAAAATCTATATAATTTTATCACTCTGGACTATAAATTGACATGGTAAAACAGCATTCAGGAATATGTATGTAATCAATATGAATTAACATTGAAAAATGCTGTTCAATCACAACATATGGGCGGATACATCGGGTGGTTAACACTCCGGCCTTTCACGCAGGCAGCTGGTGTTCGATCCCCAAAGTCGCTGTACGCATGGAATGTTCAGAGAAAGTGTTTTTATCTCGTGCCCACACAACTCCAACAACCCAGGTGGGGTATAAATTGGTCTGGGGTGGATGATGCGGTATCTGTGCTGTAGCAGATACTGTTGGAAGCACGGTCTCACTACAAACAGAACACAATACATATCCAGCACACATGCAGATATTAGGGAGATATTAGCCAGGTAGCAAATGACTAGTAGTAAGCACTTGATAAGGCAGCTCCTGCAAATTCCTCAAACTTGTTTTGATTAATGTATATGCTAATTGTATTGATTGTATAAATTGTATATCTATGTACTAGAAAGCACTTTAGCTAGACAGGGCCCTATATCAAATTTTGTATTATATATATAACATAAATTTTGAGGTCCCCACCCCATAACGAGATATGTATTTGCAGGGCATGAAATGTCTCATACAGATATGCTTCCAGTATTGGTCTTGAGGTCTGTTCCATCCATGACTACTAAAATTTCTCACTAGATAATCCTGTAATTCATTATATTTTCTGTTGCAGTATTCTGTCTCAACTGAAGCACCCCCATATAGTAGCTTACTATGACTCATTCTACGAGGGTGATGAGTTTCTCTATATTATCCAGGTAAGCAAGCATTTATCCTGGCATCCATTTCTCTGACCACGGAATTAGATTAAATTTTGTTTTTAAATCACAGCAATATTTATCACGAAGTACATTATGTAAAAGCCTCACACCATAGATATTCAATATTAAATACAACTATGTTTGATCAGTTTTTTATAAAAATGACTATATTCATCAACTTATTTTGTCGGATTGTTTGTGCCAAACTATACGGGAACCATCGGTCACACATACTTCCCCTGGTTTCTTTTTGTTTTCAAAACATGGAATGGTGTTTGTAAAATCTAAAATCACAATGGCAGATAAGATATTAAATGAAATTCTTTGAGATATCTTCGCAATTTAATTGTAATGAAACATTTGATTTTCCTGTTGGTGACAGATAACAAGCTCCTTCCTCAAATACTTTTGGGAGTTGTATGCACATTGTATTGTGCTTGGTGCACAGCCCCCGGAAGTCTTTCACAGAGATTATCTGACTGTTTATAAGTTATCGGATCAAAACCATCCTTTTACAGCATTTTGGTCATATTTTTTTATCTTGTCATCATATAAATGACTGAATTTGAGCTCAAATGATACAATCTGAGAGTCATTTACAGAGATGAAGGGAGCTCAGCACAGGGAACCCTGAGTTATAGATTGTCTGAGTCCATATGATAATTGTGATGTTACACTGCATTCTTTATGAAGCTGCTATGATACATGAATTTTATTCCTCATCATACATAACTTGCAATGAGGTAACCTTCCCCCCAAGCTGGCAAAGGTGCAACATCCACTACCATTAAATACTTGTAAGGGTTCATATGTCCTAACAATATTAAATGCTCTCATTAAGTCACTTATTTTTTTATTTATGACAGGCCTTCTGTGATGGAGGCACAATGGATGACAAGATTCGAGATAATGCAAATGTGAGTAATGAGATGCAGTACATGTTCTGTCAAACTTCATTATACTTTCACCTTTTCTTCGGTTAAATCATTTGTTACATGGTTGGCAATATGACAAGCTTAAAACATGTCAAGAACTTGTGAAGGGAAAAGGGGACATTGATGTACCAATTTCCTTATGTAAATGTTTTTGATGTTGTGTGTTCTTGTATTTATCAAAGATCAGGTATTACATCTACTTTATTTTTTTTTATTTTTTTTTTCATAAAATTTGTTAATAATTTCCTGGGATATTATAAAATGATAAAATTATGGCAGTCTGGATTTTCCTTCTGTTTTCTGAATATTCTTCAGTAAAGATTAGAAATTTTATTTTTAATTTGACAATTGAATTATTGTTGCTTTCACACAATTAAAATCACATTGAACACAGATTTTTTTTCAGATTTTTGAGTGGCATTCTCACACCTTGCAGTCAAAGAGCAGTTGTTTATTTACATCCAATCACATTCATGAAAGCTTAACTTAAAAATCTCATATAGAATCCATAATATTATATTTTGGAAAATCTTACTGTGATATATTTTTCAAAATTATTTGAAAATCATCTTTCATTTTCAATTTCAGAAAGACAAATACTTTGATGAAGCTGCCATAATGTGTGTAAGTATATGTTAAATAGAGGTAAAAAGATTGCAGATTCCTTCAAAGAGATTAGACTGTTTTTTCAATTAATTGGTTCAGTGATACACATTAAATCTGTTTTGAAATATTTTTCCAATTTCAACTTCGCTTTTCTATGTCAGCTCTACATTGCTGTGAATGTATTTCCTTTGTTAAAGAGTTCCAACCAAAATTTATAAGATATATACCAGGTACTAATTATGTGTTCATTGGTCTTGATTGATAAACTGTTTGCAAAATTCATACCATCCAAGTTCTCAGCAATGAAATCAATGTCATTGATGGTCAAATGGGTCAAGCCTTCCAATTGCAGGATATTTCATGTAAAATTTTTGGTATTCTTTATAATTCTCCTTTTCATATACTAATTTGCATTGTCAAAGGAGTACTCCATTATTTCATATTTAAAAAGCTGATTTTTAATCGTTTTCAATGTTGAGGTAAGCAGTGCAAATGCAGAGTCTGTGCAGGTCATAGAAGTCAAATGCAAGTGACTTGACATATAATTTAAAAATAAAATATAAAGTAAAATCAAGGGGGATACTTCTCGAAGTTCCAGGTATGATAATGTAAGATAGCATCATGTCATTGAGTTAAACTATTTGTTGGTAATAGTTCCAGAGATAGAGGCAATGCTGATTCTATTTTTTGGTACCGTTACCCCTTGCTTGGATACCACATGGTAGGCAGGGCAATTGAGGAATAGGGAAAACTAATGTTGATAATATGCTGTACATCACTTGATATAGGTGTACATCAAATGTATAGTTAGTAACTCGGTTTCTTAATCTTAAATAATTCTGTTAATTGCATTCACCTTGTACCTCTACTCCGAGTGATAAGGCTGCACCCCATAACAGGATGATTAGAATCATTGATAACTATCTACTGGATAAGGCTGCACCCCGTAACAGGATGATTAGAATCATTGATAACTATCTACATTATGTTACAGTGGTTTGTCCAGCTGATTATGGCAGTGCAGTACATACACTCAAATAAAATCCTTCACAGGTATGTAAGCTTAAACTTCCAGGCACATATGCTAAACTCTCTCTAACTGTAGTTGCCCGATAACTCCACAGTGGCATGTCTGATGTACAGGTACATGTGTACTTTTGTAAAAAAAAAAAAAAAAAAAATCTTACGCATTATTGAATTGAAATCATGGAAGTTTTGTATTTTTATACACCCATGAAAAATTATGATTCAACAAATTATGTCATGGGTAGTAATCGTCTGTCTATTCACACTTTGGTTTCCACAGGATAATTACTGTGTTGTTACTGCTCAAGAAGTTTGTATCAACTTATGTTTGCTCATAATTCACTTTATTTCCCTTATTTTGTAGGGATCTGAAAACCGAAAATGTATTTCTCACAAAGAGAAATGTTGTTAAAATTGGTAAGTTCTTAATATCCTTTCAATGTATTAAGAGTAGGAAACTGGAACAAACTGTCTGTCCGTCTGTCTTTGTGTCTGTCTATCAACCTCTTTTTCAGTCTTCAAAATATGAAAGGGTCATGACTCATGATACTTGGCCTATAAGTTGAAAAGTGTTATGTTTAAAGTGTTGGATCTAAATGAATGACCTTTACCTAACTTTGGATGTCAGTCGTCAGATAAAGTCATCCAACAAACATGTAGGTGTAGATCTAGAGTACCAGGTAATAAAATCTTACAACACAGACTCATAGTGTATAGAGTAACTATGAATATACTGAGCCTGTTTACATAAACCTGTGATCTCTTTGAAGTTCACAGATGTGAGATGAATAACAAATGAGCAATATAGGCCCATTTGGCCTCTTATTCATATTTTTTCCTATTACCGATATTAATAATTGCATGCCTTTTTAGAGGATTTATTGACATTAAGTTTAAAAAAAGTAGAGAAAACAAGATATCTTTTGAAAATTTAGGCACTAAAATGTTAGTTATGTAGAGTTTCAAATGTTTGGTCTAATTTTTCTGGTGTCTTTTTTTTGTCTGGTGTATAATTGTTTTGGTCTAACATGCTGGTATTTTATGCAGTGCTTTTCTGATTCTGTGCAGGTGACTTTGGGATATCTAAAGTGCTGGATCACACCATAGACCTGGCCAAGACAGTGGTGGGCACTCCAACTTATCTCAGCCCAGAGTTGTGTCAGGACATCCCCTATAGTTCAAAGTCAGATGTGTGGGTAAGTTCCCTATAGTTCAAAGTCAGATGTGTGGGTAAGTTCCCTATAGTTCAAAGTCAGATGTGTGGGTAAGTTCCCTATAGTTCAAAGTCAGATGTGTGGGTAAGTTCCCTATAGTTCAAAGTCAGATGTGTGGGTAAGTTCCCTATAGTTCAAAGTCAGATGTGTGGGTAAGTTCCCTATAGTTCAAAGTCAGATGTGTGGGTAAGTTCCCTATAGTTCAAAGTCAGATGTGTGGGTAAGTTAGTGTTTGGCCTGCACTGGGATAGGGATCAATTACATCAATTTTCCCTTTGGAAAGCATTGCTGGAGTAGAGGGAAATTCTGTACAACTTCTCTGTACAACACATTTAAAATACATACAATGTTCTACCATGTGTCACCAATTGTTTTAGCACCTCCTGACCCTAAACATCTATAAGTCACTTTGATTTAAATTGACTGTAGTATGTGCTGTAATATTGTGTTTGTTTTTTTGTTTGTGCTTTACGTCCCATTAACAGCTATGGTCATTTAAGGATGAGCCAGGTTTCGGTGGTGGAGGCCAGTACCTGGCAACCTGTGGCCCAGTAGTGGAGGGTTAAGTGATCATAGACGGTCAGACGCCTTAACCACTCGACCACCATTGCTCTGTGCTTAATATAGGTAGATGATCTCGCAGTTGTGATTGAGTGACAGCTATCTAATTTATGACTTATTCACAGAACAGCAAGTTTTAGTGATGAGAAATTATAATTATTTGACCATATATATGTTTAATTGAAGGCCTTGGGATGTGTTCTGTATGAGATGTGTGCACTGAAACCTCCATTTGATGCACAGAATCTGATCAGCCTCTTTATGAAAATCATCAAAGCAGAGTATGAGGTAAACTTGATTTCCATATATTGGTCATTCTAATGCTTTCTGCCATTAAATCTGTCCGATATAAATACTGCTTTGTCGATTACCATAAATATCCTGCAATGAGCCCAGAGGTCAGTGCAGTGTATAGAACACTTGCCCATCAGCAAGATGTCTGGGGTTTGATCCCCTTATCAGAAGTGAAAGGTGTTTGAGTGACCTGCTCTATAATGACGGCAGATTCATACAGTATAAGCTGACAAAACTTGTTTTGTAAATGGTTTTTAACAAATCAACTCTATGAGGCAGTGTCATTCAATTTCGGTATACTGTATCTACATGTATTACTAATTTTGATAAAGGTGTAGGATAAGTTAGTAAGCATTACCCATTTCAATCTTAGCCAAGGTAAACTTGAAACTGCTTGATGAGGCGACATGCATACTTTGTCTGAAAATATTTTTCGGAGAATTAATTTGTACCTTAAATGTACTTTTCTTTTGTAAAAGTATCAAAGACGATGTCTCTCCATAAAAAGAGATATATTTGTTTGAATTTTGTAGAGAGTTCCTAATCAATATTCAGATGATCTTCATGGTTTGGTGACAGCTTTGCTGATGAAAACTCCAGATGATAGGCCAAGGTAAAATGTACACTGGATTTAATAATAATAGACCACAAGTGATTATGACACCTTACCTAACTGAAGAATGAAACACCATACACATTTATGCTTTATGCTTGTTCAAGGGTATACACTACCACCAACCCCACAGCCAGGGCTGTAGTTGATTTTATGTCAGGGCCAGTGAATTTTCAATATTTTCTGTGGACTTGTAGAATTATTCACAATTTGCCTGCATGCTAGTTCTCTATGAAATTGTGCATCCTTGTTATTAGTCCCCCACCGGTTCCGGGTGGGACTATAGGTTTGCCTTCCGTCCATCCCTCTGAGAACTTTTGTCCGGGATATATCCTAAACTATTTCACCTGGAGTAACCAGATTTGGTGTACAAGTGCATCTTAGGATGGTGGAGTGCAGAGTGCAAAAAGAAGGTCACTATGACCTCACTGTGACCTATGCCTTGATCTTTGACCTTTTCACTTTTGAAAATGTTTGTCCGGGGCATATCTTCTATATACTATTTCACCTGTAGTAAGCAGATTTGGTGTACAAGGACATCTTGGGATGGCGGAGTGCAGAATGCAAGAATTAGGTCACTGTGACCTATGACTTGACCTTTGACCTTTTCACTTTTGAAAATGTTTGTCCGGGGCATATCTTCTATATAATATTTCACCTGGAGTAACCAGATTTGGTGTACAAGGACATCTTGGGAGGACGGAGTGCAAGAAGTAGGTCACTATGACCTCACTGTCACCTATGCTTTCTGACATAAGTGTACTGTTTGTTAAATACAGAAATCATTACCGGTGGGGGACTATGGATTGCCTTTCAATACTTTCCCTTGTTTTTAATTGCTCTGTATTTGCAAATTATTGGCTATGTACTATGGCATCAATATTTCTTCTTCTTTTTTTACTGCTTCTGTTTATCCTTGCCGCAGATTGAGCTATGTAAATCTTAGGTGAATGTAGCATCTGAGTCTTGTTCCATTTCTTAATATACATTTACATTTTTAGTTCTGTAACAGAGTCTGTTTTTTTATTTATTTTAGTGCAAGTGTCATTGTTAACATGCCATACGTACAGAGACACCTAGCAGCATTCATTGAGACGAAGGAGTTGTTACGATTACAGAAAGGGGTTCGCGATGCCACCAATCGATCATCTCCAAACCCATTTACCTTAGATACCAGCAGCTCTAAAAACTCACCTCAAAGCAGGTCTGTAGGTTAATGTCATGACCTGCGAGTATATAAACCTCACAAGGGGTCAGTTCATGTTGATGCATAGCAGGATTAAACCTTTTTATACTGCCATCATTATTCATTATAAAAGGATTTGGCAATATATTGAGGGTGGTGCATTTATAAAGGAGTTGTTAAGGGAGAAGGAAGGGGTATGGACAAGATTTTAAAAACTTTCAATACCAACTGATTCCAATTTGTAAATTTTGTCTAAACCCTTAATTGTCCTCTAACGAAAATGAATTTAACTGTTTTTTTCAGAGGGGTATGGGGTATTAAGTCAGCCTGTGACTTGCATATCTAGTTTATTTTTGTACTGGGGACAGATCTGGGGTACTGCATCCTTAATTAAAAAAATAATTACAAAGTATTTTGTAAATGACATCTGTCTGGGCAAAAATTTACTGAATAAATTCATGAACCTAACATAAAAATGAATGATAATCAAGTACAAGTGTTAAAAAAGAGTATTCAATTAAAAAGAATCAATAAAATATTAAGAATTTTACATGAAGGTTGTCTGTTATAAAATAGTTCTGGAGTGTTAACAGTTGCCTGGAAGTGATGCTTAGTACAAAATCGGAAAAGGTTATCTTGACTACTTCTTATATTCACATGTTATTTTACACATCTACACGGAAGTAGTAATATAGTTTTTTGTAATAAATGTGTTTCAGTGAAAATGCCACTCTTGGAGTAAAGAACAAGCATGTAGGCAAATCACCTAGAAAACCAGAAGGAAGATCACCAAAACAGCAAGACAGTGGAGTGAGCTGTAACGGTAACATATATTTACACCTTCTACTTGTGATTGCTTTCAGAGTTAAGGTTACATGAAATATATATGTGTTTAAAAGATCAAAGAAGAGACCATCAAAACATTTTATTTGATAGTGCAACAATGAAAATCTGATGATCAAATATTACTGCATCAACAAATTGTAGAATTGCACTATATTTTAATGATGTCATGCTTGACATCAAGGCTGTGTGCGATTCTGAAAGAGCTACTCGATGCTGTTCCATTGTTTCTTCTATCATTTGATAGGATTTTCTTCCTAAAATAATTCCAATTTAATATGTAGCTATTTTGATAACATAGTTTATGCACCAAAGATGTACAAAAACAACCACCTGTTCTACCAACGCTTTATCTGAAGTTGAAATGGAGTAAACAGAAAATACAGCTTTGATTGATATCTGCAATGAAGATTTAATTTTTTTTTATCTAATTGATATTTTTTGATATTGCACTGGTAAAAATGTAATATACATTTTTTGCCAAGTTTTGGTTAATTCTTATTGACTTTTCCTAAATTTGCTGGTTTCAGATGGTACAGAAGTTCTCTCTGACTATTCTGATGATTTTGATGACTCTTCACACTCCGACTTAGAAGAAGGTAACATATCAAAGAATTAATGCAAATGCCTGATAACTGGACAGATGCAAACTTGACAATGCATTACATGAAGATGTTCTAGTGTAATGATTCTCTATGAAATCTAGATATATCTCAAGGTTTGTAATTATATTGTTGGTATACCACAATGTGAAGGGTGCAATCAAGTTAAAATATGTAATTAGGAAAAATTTAAGTCCTTTCTTGCAGAGGTATTCCAAATTAATTCCATTTTCTGACAGATGTTGAGCCTGGTAAATGTACTAGTCAGTCTTGAAATGTTACAATGCATGTGATATATACATCGTTTGTGTATTAAGTACATTTTTGATACATACATATTTCCACACTGATGAATCCTATTAAAGTATTTGATGGACTTCAGATATTCCAGAGGACATTCCAGAAGATATTTCCATGGCGTCCGAAGACAAGTCAGAGGGACAGTATGCTGGGTGTGTTTTAGACTACTCCAAGGTGGCTGAGGATGGGCCAGAGGACCAGTATGCCGATGACTTTGAGGACTACGACTCAAGTGATGTAATACCATACTGCCACAGGATTGTCTCCCTTCCTTTGTTTTGTCAGATATTAGTTCTCAGAGTCAGGTGTCAATACTTAACACATCTCTTAAATCATAGACTTTGACAAGGATTTAAACAAGGACTAGTGATTTACCTAGCACAACTAGACCTTTGAACTTGTTAACAGATAAATAATGTGATTAAGAATACTTACCTGATTATATATTTTTCTCCAATCTCTACATTTAAAAAATACATGTGTCTCAATGAGTCCGAATACCCTTGTGGATACATGTATCCTGTGGATTACAAATAAAAAATAGTGCCTACTATCTCTGCCATCAAACCAAACTAACTTGTATACAGATGAAATGGTTTAAATGTTCTTTTTAAATGCCCCCACCATAAAATGGGGGGGCATATAGTGTTGCCCTTGTCCCGTCCCGTCAAACATCAAACACTGATTCACATGGTGATGGGGGAATTCATGTCTTACAGACATTTTCTATTTTTTTCTAAAATTACCAGTTTTTATTTTTTATATTTTGTCCTGTTTGTGAGAGGTCCTGTTACTTTTGACATAAACTAAGAATATACTATACATGGCAATATATGTATGAATTCATATCTTTCATTTAACTTTAACAAATTGTATTGATATACTGGAAAATTTTGAAATCTTTTGGATTGTATAACAACCAAGTTTATATTAATTCTTTTCATATAATTTTAAAGATACTTTGAGTTAAAAAATATTGACAATTCATAAAACCAAACAAAGAAAACATTCAGTATTTTATTATTTGCATTCTGTAGGATTTGGACCAGATTGTGACACAGGCCAAAGTAGCACAGGAAGTTGCCCCTGACGATGAATTCTTCTCGGACGACAAGATGCTGGATCATCAGCTGACACATACCAAATTTTTTAAAATGTGTGTATGATGTTTCTCATTTAATCCTGACATAAGTATGGTTGTACATATCAATTCAATTTCTTAAATTGAAAGTAATATGTGTTTATATGATACATAAATTGCATTTTTCACAAAATGAAATATTTTCTGAACGTTTATCAAACATGGATATGTTTCAAAGGCAATATATGGTTATAATGTAGATTTGTTTTCAAACAATTTTCAGAAGGTTTTGTTTTATTTTGAAGTAGTTCGTAGATTTTATTGTATGTACCTATGACAATTCTCAATGTATTTCAGTGTATGTAAAATTTCAGACTTTTACAATTCACAAGTGTATTGCGTATTTACCATAGCAACCAACACATAGGTACATAAAATGTATATAACTTCCACTTAATTGTATGAATCGTTTCACCATATTTTCATTGAACAATCTGCTGAAGCAGGATATTTGGTAAAAAGAATCACTATATTTGCTGTGGGCTATCCCCGGTTGCAGGTAGTACACTGGAAATGGTACATATACAACTCATATTTCAAAACAGTGTATTATTTCAATACATTTCATTGTGTATTTTTTTAAATAGTACAGATATTCATATATTGTCTCACTCAGTTTTTCGTTTTTCACAGACAATGTATGGATGCACTTGGAGGTCGCAAAATCAGCAATGTGGGGAAATTGATCCAGAACGGAACACTGACAGAGTCAGACTTCAGGTGAGGAATTTATTCATGTTGAGGATGAAATTTTTATTATCTAGTGTAAAAATATTGTTTCATCTAAATTAGTGCACCAGTAGATAGAATGTCACTCAAGGTCAAGGTCGCAAGTATGGGTCAAAGGTCAACCATAACTGCATCTTTGGTCCATATCTATCTAAACCGTCACTTAAGATTGGCTACATATATTTTAATTAAACACTGATGTATTAATACAGAAACCAATCAAAGCTAGTTATTTCATGTTGATGGATAAATTTCTCTGGGAAAGAATTCCCTCATCTCTTAAATTTTCCCTCAGAGCTGGAAAATTTAGATTTTTTTCTATAACATTAATGGTACCCCTAATTTGAATTTTGTAAACTTTGAATTTCATGAGGGGAAGATAATCGATGTGTAAGAGGTGCAAAGTTTCCCCACAATCTCAAAAAAGTAATTTCACAGTAAAAGTATTGTCCCTGCACCACTAGACAGCGTGTTGCATATTATCATCGACACATATCCTAAAGGTTAAGGTTATAGCAAGGGGTCAAAGGTTAAGATAACTGTAAATAGTAAAAGGTCAAGTCATTCTGATGCTTGTACAGAAGATGAACTATTAAAAGCAGAAAAAGCTTAATGAGGCTTAATTTTTTAAATTTAAACAGCATCAAGGTTAAAGGTGAGTAAGTGTCCAAGGAATAACAAAACTTCATAGATTGATGTATCATCTAACCAGACAATGGATCAGGGTTAGGTGACAATAACCGACTAGTAAATCTTGATATAATGCCTTCATGTCAATTTTCACCACTTTTACCATTCAGGCATTTCAAAGTGAATGAATATGTATGTAACAAACTAAATGGCTTCAAAGTAAATTTATATGTAAATGATTCGCAGGTTTGATGGTAAATATGTTACCAGCCTGCCCCATCCCAGTTCAGTGTCATCACTCTAGAAACTTCTCTTATTAATGGATATTGAACAAACTTTTGAAAGGTCAAGAACAAGGATACCTGGGATGTGTTTAATTTCGTAGTTCCATTGTCAAAGGCAAAGGTCACTTTTACAATTACAGAAATTTGTCAACCAAGTTTTCAAATTGACATTACTCTTATGACCTCATTTCTTATTGGAATTTGATTAAACTTGATACAATGTTGTAGTATGAAGATGCCTCAAATAATGTCCTATTTCAGGATTCCGAGGTCAAGGTCACCATTAACATCTATAGAAGTTTGTCAAACAATGAAACTTATTTGCATTCATGTCTTCTGTGTTCCAGTTTATATAAGATTGGATATATGCTTTTACCTATGACCTTATATATAGGTATTAAACTGACAGAGTATGTATTATAAATTACTGTACTTACAAATTGAGATGAAATTTCTCTTCTTTGAAAGGTGAATTAATGTGACATGTACATTTTTTTTTATAATTTTCCAGGAGAGAACTTAGACACACTGTTGGGGATTCCACAGAAATCTGCCATCTTGATATTGGTGAACTTGATGAAGGGTGATTGATGGATTTAATGTTGCCATGGAAATGTGTGATGACCCAATGCTGTGAACTAGAAATCTGTGATATTTGATGAGAGAGAATGAAGGTGTCAGCTATCGTTGTGTTATTACTTTAAATGTAGTAAGCTAGAGCAGTAATGTACAATCAAAAGATTGTCTGGACAAATTATCACGTTTATAATAAAGGCGTTTGGCAATGTATTTAGGGAGATAGATAAAAATGTATTGTTAAGAAAATCGAGGAGTGTTGAAACGTATTGGCATTAAGTGAGATACTGGCAATTGAAACAATGAGCAATATATTCAGTTATTTCTGAATTGCTAATTTGTGATTCAAAATTGTTTATCCATTACACCATAACGAGAAAAATATTATTTCAAGTTTTGATTTCAGCTGTTTAATGTATATGTTTAATGTTCATAAGATTGCTATCAATTTTCCAGTAAAATGTTTGGCATTTTAAAGTGGTTGGCAATATACTGAGGGTGGCGACACACAGGGATTGTTAAAAAAAGGATTAAGTTGACGTTAAGCAAGGTGGCATATGAAACCTTGAATTTTATTGCTGTTGCACTGTACAACTCTTCGAGTTACAAGTTTATTCATTTTGTGTCAAATATCATTGAATACATTTAGAGTGTTCGCTCATGAAGTTGAGTGTTACCTCGGTATGTAAGAATGTCAAAGTATATATCATATCCAGTATATACAAGAATTTCACCCTCAAGGTACTTCTTATGCATATCTTCTGAATTTTCGAGACTGTGTTATGAACTCTTTATTATGTTCAGTTCCTGGTATGTGTGAGAATGTTCAGTACCCGGTATGTGTGAGAATGTTCAGTACCCGGTATGTGTGAGAATGTGACAGTACCCGGTATGTGTGAGAATGTTCAGTACCCGGTATGTGTGAGAATGTTCAGTACCTGGTATGTGTGAGAATGTTCAGTACCCGGTATGTGTGAGAATGTGACAGTACCCATTTATGTGTGAGAATGTGACAGTACCTTGTTTTATGTTTACTGTGTGTAAGAATATGAAAGTACCTAATGTCAGGTTCAGCATTTGTGAAAATGTGACAAAGCCATATACATGTTTTGTTCAGTATATGTGAATACCTTTTATACATATTACATTCCTTATTTGTGAATATAAAGATACTTAAGTTTAAGAATGAGACTGTCTAGTTACTTTTCTCCCATAACTTCTACATCAACATATAAGGAGTCTGAAACATTTAATGTAACGATATGGAATCATGTATTTCCAAGAGAAACATTTTTACTTTCAGATACAATACAAATGTTATGGGAGTAAAAGGACTGAAATGAATGGATAATATCTTTTAAAATTGTAATTTTATAAATTGTTTAAATGAGATTCAAACATTCCTCTAAAATATCTCTGAGAGTAATCATGTTTCACGAGGGTGAAGCCCGAGTTAAACATGATTAATTAAGGTAAAACAAATGACTGTTTCCCTGCATCAAGGACAAAAAATATATTTTATTATACCGAAGTGAAAAATAACAGCATAGAAAAGATTTTCAGGTTTAATCATATTGGTGTCATTTTCTCCGGTTACTCGGAACACCGTTCTGGTGATTCTTTTATAATTTTCTTGAGAAATTCCAAATAAGAAAAATATGACCGCGTAAACTAAAGTGTTTTATTGTCCGGTCATTTGATCAATACAATCCATCAGTCATGCTGTTATATGGTTGAGGTATGGTAACAGCAATGTACTGCATCTGTTATATACTGTTATAGTCTAAGGAGAGGTGTTCTATAGTATGAGAGTGGTTCCCATTGGTTATGTTAAATTTTTACCTTCAATAGATGTTCTAATATATGATAATTATATATTTTTTTCTGTTGCATGAATAATTACCAATATATGTTAAACGCATTCTCTTGCCCGGTGTATGTATTGAGAACTGTTCCTTGTATGAACCCAAATATCTGATAATATATATGGGATGTGTACTTCGTAGGACCTGAATGTACAATATATTTAGGAATAGTTTCCTATTTTAGTCAGGTTGTCGAGTGAAACTCTGAGCTTGAGGAATATTGAAAAAGTCAATATATTTTATAAATATACCAATACCGTTAGTTATACAGTTTGGCCACATTTGTTTATTGCGATCCAAACAATTGAACTGGTTGGACCAGAGAGGTTTGTTTATGATATAAGGTTGGACCTAGTAATTTGATGCTGCTATCAAGCTTGACAAACCTTGCATGGCCTGCATAAACATTTGCAGGTCGGCTAGGATTTATACTCGAAAATGTTACATTTAAATACAGACAAACCAGATATGTGAAAGGGGCCTTGATTGACAATTTGGAACAGCCTATAGTTTGATGACCTTGAACTCTACCACGACTGGATTGTTGGCTTCAGTTCATGGTTATACTAGCTATGAGGATAATGGCTATTTTCAGATGTATACAATACAAATGTACATGGTTCATCATTTTTGTCATTCAGATATAGATATATCAGTGTATTCACAACTTTGAAAAAGAATATGATTGAAGTAACCGTGTTATTATTTTCCCGAGTATGGGAATTGGCTGCCATGCGGAACTGGTTATGTTACAAGGGTTTTTATTATGAAGTTAATGCCATTTTTCAAAATCGGATATGTGTATTTTTTTATTTGCATACATCTGCAACTCATGTTCAAACATGGAAAAAGACACATAGCCCACCATTTTTGCACATCTACCTAAAAGAAAAACAGAGAATAGCCTGCAAATGGCATTTACAGATGCAAAAGAAATGGTGTAGTTTACGAGATATATGCAAAATTTCAGTATTAGCTTCATGCCCTAATCATCATGACCCAGTCCATGTTCAGCACCATGTCAGTGATAAATGTCTTTATCATGTTTCGAATAGCTTTTCACTGGTTGTATCAATGAATTGTTCACAATTTCTTTGATACTAGAAAAACAACCAACATTATTATTCCAATTGTTCAGATAGTAAAAGATTGTTTAAAAGCTATCAGCAGCGACAAGGAATCTCTTGAAATTGTTAGGATTGTAGTGAAAAGGTTTGTTTGGTATTCAGTTTTTTGTACTTCAACTAAGGTAGAATTGCAAATTTTTCGTAGGATATATTATTTTGCAAATTTATGAAAATTGGCTTATTGAAATATTTCACAAATATTTTGCACCTTCAGAAAGGTCAAGGTCAATTCTTTTTAATTATGCAAGAACTTCTTTTAAACATTTGCTAAGAGTAATGAAATCAGAATGCCTGTAAAACAACCTTTCAAGACTACCTGTTAATTGCAAATTAGAAACAACAGAGTAGTTCCAAATACAAATCCGCAAAATTTTAAATCCACGAAAATAGCTATATATGTTGTATAATTGTAGATGTTTTATCAAGGTTATTTTTATAAAACTGTGTTCAATAGCTACTTAAATTTTATTATCACATGTGTAAAAGTATCAATATTTATACCCTGCACATGTATGTATGTGATATACTTGCACTAGTATCAAAACCGTCCTAACAAAAGCAGAGAATTAATCTCATATTTAATCCATTTTATATTTTATATTGGTTTCATTATATTTACAATTGACAGTAGAGTCTCAATAATTCAGCCATATGAATTATTCCCTGTGTATGCAAATGTACTAAGAATCAATAATAAATATTTGTGTGTGAAAACAATCTGTATTAAGGTTGATAATAGATGTGTGATATTAAACAGAGAATAAAAACAATTTAACAAAGTCAGTGTTTCCTTTTACATTCTTTAAAAATAAATTATTCAAAAGTCATGCAAAAAAAGGTTTAACATGAAAAGAATTGTATGTTATAGTGTAAGGTATAAGTGTCTGGCAATTTCTTTTGGAGAGAATATTTTTGAAAGCACATTGTGCTTAGTATGGTCTAGTCATGTATTGTTAAAATGATATTGTATTCAAAATAGGTTTATATAATTTATTTAATCAAAATTTGATAGTCTGTTATCAAAGCAAGGTTACAGGCGAAATATACCGGTAACTAATTTAAACCTTATGCTTCTTTAGACGATGCCTTGTTTTCAAACATATTTTATTCCAATGACCATGGAAGTAGGCAATATAATTTATCTGAATGAACTTGATAGACCTTTAAGCCATATCATTCCTATAGGATTTAAGAAGAAGCTTTTTTAACTTTATAAAAACCTATTTTATCCATATTACTTTGAAAATGGGACAAGGTAATCTGTATTTGAAAAAATTGGGGGCCAATCACATTGACATCCTAATTGTCAAATATCATGACCATATTGGTTTCTAATTAGTTATTCAGCAGAAGTTAAAATTTTGAATAGGACTGATTCCTGCCACCTTTTAAAGTAACCTTGAACAAACTTGATAGCTCCTTCATCCAAGCATGTTACAGGCCAAATGAACCTAGGCATCTTGGATGTTCAAAAGTAATTTTAGATTTTAACAAAAGTCTTAAACACCTTGTCTTCATTTCGAAACATATCGACACATGTGCCTACTTTTATTACTCCAACTGTCACCTTTTTCAACCATCAGCACATTACAGCTGTACATGTTTGTTGTTTGCGAAGCATACATGTCTAGGATTTTCCCATTCTGTAGATCATTAATACTTTCTGCACTCTCTCTTACGATAAAAGAACTTCAGACCTAAAGTTTTATCTTCGCATTGAATGGGGTAATTAATTCTTCTCCTTATTGTGCCATCATTGATAACTACATGGATGTATGTCAGGCCAAACATGTAACTGAATACAAGGGTAACTTAATGTCTTTGTTTACCCAACAACAAATATACACACACATCGATCCTAGCATTTTAGTTTCAACAAATTGTATTGAATTAATAAAAGGATTAGACAACAGGCATTGCCTATATTATAAGTCTTAAATTCTCTTGAACCAGTACAACATATATACATTTACACAGAATAATAAAGTATATTTACAAAATTATCGATAATTAATTACTTATTGAGATTATTGAAATAAATGGACAATTCTGATAGAAAATATGTATATATATTTGAATTAATATGTTGAATGTAAAACTACACACACTAATAAACAGGCTCACTCATCCACCAGGGATCCTAGCATACCTCGATAACTGTTGGTATATATATATTACTGTAGCAGAAATCTCCAAATACATTTTATTCAAAAAGGGCACCCCTTCTCTCAATGTTACGTGCCCTGGACCCTTTTTAGGTTAAATACGGTAATTAGTTTGAGAATTTGTTATTCGATGGCTTCATGGGGCCTGTGATCATTGATTGTTTTAAGAGTGCACTTGTCTTCCTATAAATCGTACAGTTTCTGAAGTTAATCTACCAAAGTATTTTAGCTCAAAGTTTATAAACTAAATAACTAATTATGTGGCTTGTTTTATAAGTATGAATGGAATGTAGGCTATTGTTTTAACTCTGTATAAAGGTAAATCTGACATCAAAACGTAATTGCCAGATTTTCCATTTTTGTAACAATTTTGCATATTTTAATTTTCAAACAGAAAGTATCATCAATCATGCTTCGACTATACCATGCAATTTGCGGATTAAATTAAGTATCAAGATAAAATAAAATACATCATACCATTAAAATTTTTATTTTTAAAGTTATATTTATCTGTCATGTTGTTATATAGTCTCCTGCCACTCAGCCTAATGTAATGCAATACAAAAACTGTCAGATCAGTTCACCATGGTTGGAGGAAACAAGGATCAGGCAGACAGGTGGGTGATACAGGCCCGATACGCCTCTTGTGGTACTGACAAATCCGGAAACATTAATATTTAGATTTAAAACTGAATTGCTTCATGATCTATGACCCATGCTATTTTGTTAATTTTAGATGCTGTGAATAATATGTCACGGCAAGTGTATGAATGTTAAATTAATGTGTTAAGTTTTTGTTCCGATAAAGTATAACTTAGTAGTAGCTCCATCCTCTTGTAGGAGAACCAGCTCGTGAGGCTGTATGTTGATTCTGAAGCCAGATACACTATATTTGACTGGCGGTTCGAAACTGCATAGCTGAAGTGGGAGACATTTATGTACCCTAACATCATATAATATATATATATAAGGACAAGTTTAAGTTTCCGGATATATCGAAACGCTTCCGTGTATTGTTTAGCGAATAACAGGAAAAACAAACATGGCGACTATGGAGGAGATTGATCCGACTTGTAATCCAATGCAGCCTCTTTTGGAGAAGGTAATGCTAACTGTCTTTTTCATTTATTATCATCACAAAGTGTATTCCTTAACGAAATGATTCTAGTGTCTCCGTTTACTGAATTTATTTATAACTTCTCTCATTTAGCGAACGGTGTCTTCAGTGTTGACATTCTGAAAAATGCTAATCCCCCACATACTTGAAGCTTGGATACCGGCATACACTATTTTTGGTGTCCTTGCACTGATTTGTTGCAACAAAAAAATTGAAAGTGATGACAAAAAATATGTGTAAACAATGACTTTCTAATGCATAGTTTTTATTGTTAAAATTAAGCGAATAATGTTGATGTTGACCATTAAAAATGATACATGTACGTGCCCGTTTACCAGGTTGGGCACACCGGCGCATATGGGTAATAATCGTGAATTTGGGTAACATCTTTGTATGTTATGGTTGAATGCACTTCAAATCTACTTTCACTATCCTATATAAAAAATCAAAATTTTGTACTTCACTATCTTTATTAAAAATCGCTATTTATATGGTTATTATAAACAAATTTTGGTTGAACGTTTTTCGTGTTTTGACATTTTCGTGATTTTAGATGTCCCGACTTTTCTAAGGCTTCCAAGGTCATGAAATACTTTCAAAACCGAAGACTGTTCAACCAAAAGTTGTTTGTAATAACCAATAGATGTGGCGATTTTCAATAACGTAAGTGAAGTACAAATTTTGAATGTTTATATAGGATAGTGAAAGTAGATTCGAAGTGCATTCAACCATTACATACAAAGATGTTACCCAAATGCAGGATTATTACCCATATGCGCCGTTGTGCCCAACCTGTTTAAGGATCCCAGTACTAATCAAAACTGTAACTAAGTGTTTAACTGTTTTTTTCCGGGATAATTTTAGCTTTCATAAATAATTCCTGAAAAAAAAAAATACCTTTCGGGACTTTAATGAGACATACTAAGATGAAATAAATATAATAGCACCAAGAACAGTGTTCTTAGTGTATAAAAACTCGACTGGGATTCAAACCCTGGTTTTTAGATTGTTATACTATTACTCTAACATACTTTATTGCCTGGTCTGATTCTGAAGTGTCCTGGCCTGGCCCAACAGTGCTACAGCAGTTTAACAGTGATAAATCTACGTGCGAGTGCTGGGTCCTGTACCCATAGCATTTTGAAAATTTAGATACTGTATGTACCCATAGAATTTCTGAAAATACTGAAATTTAACATGGTGGGACCATATCTTTTAACCATACAATGGAAGAAGACACATATAAACTTATTGTTGATTGATCACTGCAGCTATATCTAAACAGAAGTTAAGGGGAGGTTACTGTATATACGGAAAACCACAGTGCAGTGGGACAGGGATCCTTTTGGTCTACATATATATATGTGTGTGCAATCTCCATGCAGGGGTGGAATTAACCACTGGTTCGCTCGCCCGTGGCCAGTGGTTACTTTATGTCACAAGTAACAGCCAGAAACAGAAAACTGAATTTGTTATCATTATTGTTTATCAAGCGATCCACAAGTCATGTTGACTCATCACAAATGTCGGAGAAAGTCGATTCTGCCATACCCCAGCAGCCTGGGCCTGATGACTTTCGTAATTACGACATCGTGCGAGCGACACAGTATGGTGTGATGGAACGTGTGCAGGAGCTCATTGAGGGAGGTTTTGATGTCAATGAGAATGACAGGGAAAGCGTAAGCCTCCTCCACTGGGCTGGCATCAACAACAGGACAGAAATTGTAAAGTCAGTATATCCCATGTACAATTGTTACATATACTTAGGTCCCATTTTGATTAAATCTAGATATATGTGTTAATGTTCACAGTCTCACAGATATACCTTGTCTTGTTATATTTTAAAGAAAATGTTTTGGTAGTCTTTTCACATATCAGGGAAAACTAGATTTTCAAATTACAGTTCTTGTGATTTTGTTGAAGTTTTAATATTTCAGCCTAAAAAAATCAATTTTCCTGAAGAGAAATAAAGATATTTTTCTTTAAATGAGGAAATGTACATTATGTTCCATTCATTTCTATTCCTTTAATGGGGAAAATTAAGTCTAGATTTTCACTTGATATTTTATAGAAATGTGGAGCTGATTTCCATTTAAAATTACTGTACAGATGATGTATGTACATGTATTACAATTGTTTCCATGTTACTGTACAATGTTCCTTTGGCAAAAGGAATTCTGTAATTTGAATGTTTTGTAGCTGGGACTTAATTAACATGTGTCTGATGATAATATAAGCAAGTGCTCTTTTTAAGCTAAATTAAAGCATATTGAACATGTTGATGAAGCTCATCTCAAAACAAATTTTTCTAGTTTCTTCATAAAATTTAAACTGAAATCTGGCGAAAGGTCCAGTTAGGAAATGAGAACAACATGTGCCCCACTTTCTCAAGATAAGCACCCTTCCTCTGTTTCTCATACTTGACTGTCATAAAAAAATCAGTAAGTTACAAAATGCAGACAAGAATATACATGTAATCTGACGTACTTGAAGGAAATTAATTATAAGACGCATTTCCTATGTATAAGAATTACAAGGTACAACGCTGTATATAACAATGCTCTATATAGACTTACACTAGGGCAAGTACAGTTCTCATATGAGCTGAAGTACAGTTGAGTAGTTTGAGGTGCCCTCAACACTACACCTGAGATACTGTAGTGACACCTACAGGTAGATGTTTTATACATGTATGAAATAAAGAGTTGAAGATATATCAATATCTATAGTATTGTAGTGAAATAATGTCCTTGATTTTACAGATACTTTGTTAGCAAGGGAGCTGTCGTGGACAAGTTTGGAGGAGACCTTAACTCAACACCTCTTCACTGGGCAACAAGGTACCTTATACTTTTACATTACCAGCCCCAGTCAGCTGGGAGATCTAGAGCACTTGACAGTTAGAACACCAGTGTAATGGTGAATAGACAAAAGTTTAACTCCTTGCGTTAAGAAGAACTTGTTTCTGATCTTTAAACAGAGTCGTAAAATTGTATAGAATCTGATTTTTTTTATCTCAGGGAAAGCCTTTGTAATATTATTGTTAATCTGTGTTATATAAATTGTACATGTAGGCAGAATGAGAGAGCAGTTTTAAAACTCATTGCTGGAAGTTGTTTTCTTTTAAGAAAACTTTGAAAAGAGGGATAATATTTTTAAAACTAAACTGCCTTTAGAAATATTTTTCTATCTAGCTGTAATGTTAATCTCTCATGGCAAGTTCTGATTATCTGTCAGGAGGTACAAAATTCAATTTGAATCACAGTTAATAAACATGCTTTCTGAAAAAGTGAAAATATCAGATGATTGTTTCCTTTGCTGCAGGCAAGGTCATCTGAAGATGGTTGTACTGTTGATGTCATTGGGGGCAGACCCAACTCTCAGAGATGGAGAAGGTTTGGTTTGTTTTTGTCATATTATGTCTGGATGGGAAAGTGTCTCGAAGTCATAAGTGCACATATATGTACCTAAACTTACATTTTTATGGGGAGCTAACAAAAAATAACATTTAAATTTTACACAAAGCCCTGGTGGCAATGAGGTATGCAGCATACATATTATGTAGTACACTAATAAATGTTTAGTTTACAATATAATTTTAAATACACTGTTTTAACAAATGGTGAGCTGGCCATTGATATAGGAACAAGGTCATGTTTTCTATGGCTTCTATTTCCATGAGGCAACAAACATAACTTGTAAACCATTCAGGAATTTCCATCAAAAATGTTTAGAAAAAGGTATGATGAAAAGTCTACTCTTTTTCCGACTGGAATACATTTATGTGTTAACAGTTTTACTTAGTTTGTTTATTAAGAGTCCATACAACACAAATGTAAATAGAAATGAAAGTTCTGGATTTTTGAGGTGACTGGTGAAGGTATAAATTAAATTTATATTTGTTTTCATATTAACATGAAAATAACATTAGGAATCAAACCTGCATCCTGTACATTTTCTACTTCTTCTTAACTTTTCATAAAAACATTAGAGTAGAATTTATCTTTATTACAGGATGTAGTTGTATACATCTAGCGGCTCAGTTTGGACACACAGCCATTGTGGCCTATCTCATAGCCAAGGGCCACGACGTAGACATGGTGGACCAAAACGGCATGACATCACTTATGTATGCTTCCTACAGAATATTTGCGTAAGTCAGGGACACCACTTTACATGAATGTCTGATAATTAGGAAATGACACTCAGCGTAGAGAGTTCTATCGTTTTCTAAGGTATACAGGCTTGGAAAGATATTTTCCTGTTAAATTTGATATTTCCATTTGACTAAATTTACACAAAGAGAATTGCAGGTCAAGTAGATAAAGTTTCCAAACAATGTTTTTTAAAAACAATACCAAGACTTCCTTGATGCCACAGATTGACAAAGGTCTTTTTGTGGATGAATGACAGAGGCGAAGTAAAAAATTCTGTTCTATGGATCATAAAGGTATATCTACTACACTTATACATGGACTATAGAATGGGGATCTGTGACACACCCCTCTGGATCTAATACCTCCATTGATACAAATGGATATGTACATCTGTGCAATGAACAAGTATCAACAGTAACATCATATAAGGATGTGGGCAGTATTAATTACATATATCTTTAAATACATATTGAATTTTTGCAACACTAATCATACTTATCCTGTATCAAGGTTTAAAAAGGAAAGTGTGTTACTTAAGCATAAATGGCAATGTAATATTTGGATTCCATTCTTGTTTTATTCCTTAAATTTGATCAGTGCATAACACCATTGTGTTCAAGTCAACAAAGGTTGACTAATAGGGAAGTACAATGTCCTTGTATTGGATGGTATGAAAAACTGGCTTTTTAGTAAGATACACTAGGTATATAATAAAATGTGGGAAACCTGTAGTGATTGTCTTGTTTCTACACAGCTATGATCCCGTCCGAATGTTGCTGACATTTGGCGCTTCTTTAGACAAAAGGGATAAGATCCAGGGAAACACCCCGCTCCACTTTGCTTGTCAGACTGCCAACACGGTCATCATCAAGACACTGATCAACGCTGGGGCCAACCTGGACGCTGTTAACACAAAGGTGCGTGGGACTGGATATAGCTAGAATTCTATATTGCAAAAATATTTTTTAAGTTGGTCAATATATTGGAGTTTATGTATATTGTAGTTTGTTGTAGTTATTTTGAAACAGGCATGTTCTTTTCCATACTCAAATAATAACCTTTGCTTAAAATTGAAATATTCCTTTCTATTTTGTCCTAACAATTGAGTATACATGTCTATACATACGTTTTTCATCTGTATAATATTTTCTTACTTGGTTGATCATCATTATTTCCAAACTGTATTCTCGAAACTCAAAACTCAGCATAACTACTTATGAGAGAATCAACATTGACATGTGCGTGTGATATTGTGTAATATATAACATGTATAACTAGGAATACAAAATTGACAGTGGGGTTAGTTGTCATTCGGAAGTTAGTAAGGTAGTTTATTGTATTATAGTATTAGTTATTTATTCATTGTACACTTGTGTACACATTGATTGTCTAATGTGACACCCTGCGGAATCTTACTAATTGATTTGATTGAGAAGGGTGTCAAAATACACATATTTTGTTTGGCAGTTTTTTTTATGACAAAACAAACTACAGCATTGGTTTGGTTTGTTCCTGTTTTATGTCCTTTTAATAGCTACGGTCATTTCAGGATGTGCCAGGTTTTGGTGGTGGAGGAAAATCAGAGAAAAACCACCAGTACCTGGCAACTGCCCCATATAGGCCTTGAACTCGCGACCCAGTGGTGGAAGGCTAGTGGTAGCAAAATGTCAGATGCCTTAATCACTAGGCCACTGCGGCCCCAAAGTACAGATAAATTACAGATATGATATAATGTCAGACTGCGTACCAATGGGTCAGATTATACAGGTTTCACAGTATCTTTGATCTACACATTCCAGGGTCAGACTCCCATTGATCTGGCAGCCATGCACAAGCACACAACAGTTGTGAAGCGGCTACATGAGATGAGGATAGAGCTGGGATACGACACCAGACATTGTCTACAGAAATACACAAACGACAAGGTATGGGTAATAAGGATAGAGCTGGGATATGACACCAGACATTGTCTACAGAAATACACAAACGACAAGGTATGGGTAATAAGGATAGAGCTGGGATATGACACCAGACATTGTCTACAGAGTTACACAAACGACAAGGTATGGGTAATAAGGATAGAGCTAGGATATGACACCAGACATTGTCTACAGAGTTACACAAACGGCAAGGTATGTGTAATAAGGATAGAGCTGGGATATGACACCAGACATTGTCTACAGAAATACACAAACGGCAAGGCATGGGTAATAAGGATAGAGCTGGGATACGACACCAGACATTGTCTACAGAAATACACAAAGGACAAGGTATGGGTAATAAGGATAGAGCTGGCATACGACACCAGACATTGTCTACAGAAATACACAAAGGACAAGGTATGGGTAATAAGGATAGAGCTGGGATACGACACCAGACATTGTCTACAGAAATACACAAACGGCAAGGTATGGGGAATAAGGATAGAGCTGGGATACGACACCAGACATTGTCTACAGAAATACATCAACGACAAGGTATGGGTAATAAAGATCGAGCTTGGATATGACACCAGACATTGTCTACAGAAATACACAAACGACAAGGTATGGGTAATAAGGATAGAGCTAGGATATGACACCAGACATTGTCTACAGAAATACACAAAGGACAAGGTATGGGTAATAAGGATAGAGCTGGCATACGACACCAGACATTGTCTACAGAAATACACCAACGACAAGGTATGGGAAATAAGGATAGAGCTGGGATATGACACCAGACATTGTCTGCAGAAATACACCAACGACAAGGTATGGGTAATATGGATAGAGCTGGGATACGACACCAGACATTGTCTACAGAAATACACAAACGGCAAGGTATGGGTAATAAGGATAGAGCTGGGATATGACACCAGACTTTGTCTACAGAAATACACAAACGACAAGGTATGGGAAATAAGGATAGAGCTGGGATATGACACCAGACATTGTCTACAGAAATACAACAATGACAAGGTATGGGTAATAAGGATAGAGCTGGGATATGACACCAGATATTGTCTACAGAAATACAACAACGACAAAGAATGGGTAATAACTTGATATATAGATTGTCAAATGATCTCTCACTCGCAAGGTTTCACAAACAGTTTTAAATAAGATTTGACTAATTTTCATTAGGAATAGCGAAAAATTAGGCCCATAAATGGCTTCACAAAAACCTCTGAAAACATCAGAAAAAACGATGCATCAAAAGATTATATATACGTATACTCTAAATTGTAAAGTCTTGTTTTTATTTAGACAGTGCGTAAGAAGGTGATGTTGGTGTTTCCATTCATCGCCCTATGGGTCATAGGTGCAATCCCAGAAATGGCTGCAGACTGGTATGTCAAGCTTGCATTGGTTGTGGTGGCCATCATCGTCTGGAAGGTTGTAGCACAGTAAGTAATCCTTCATTACTTTGTTACTCGAAGGACAGAATTTACAGAAAATACTGACCTCTGACGAGAATTCAACAGAATTTTATCTTAATAAATAGAAAACCTGGCAATATTTCATTTTAACCAATTTTATTCATGATGGTATATGAATAGGATTACGCAAATTTCAGTTCTCTCCTGCTAATCCCAACAACATACAAAAAGTATGAAAAAATCTTAGTGAGTGAAAAAAGTCAAACTACAATTAATACAGTACATGCTTAGCAGTAGATATTTATGTATAGGTAAACATCAAATTTGATTTCAGCATTGAGTCTGGTTTTTCTTGCCATGACTTATCCAATTGTCATGCAGTTGATCCTATGTTTTAGGGAGTATTTGCTTACAACCATATTAAAAATTTATCAAAATTATTCGATTAATCCAGCTGTCTGGCAACCCTGCCAGATTTGCTTGAAATGAAGATGACTGGTTTATCAAGACTATGTGATTATACCTGTTGCTATTGTTTACCTGGCAGCTTCTTCTTTGATGACAAGTTGATGACGATAATGCCAATCAGTATTTACTTGGCGACCAAGCTTTGGATGTATTACACCTGGATTGTCTATTTTGTGCCCTGTATCCTTTGTTGTATGTCGAAAAGGGAATTGACCATAGGGTCAATGCCAATGGACCATAGAGTCAGTGTACTGGGTAAGAAAGGCCCCTAGGAAAGGTCATTTGTTTTCAAGGAAGAACTGTTTCAAAGTGTACTGGGCCATGGGTAAGAAAGACCCCTAGGGTAGGTCATTTGTTTTCAACGAAGAACTGTTTCAAAGCTTTGTTTTTTATGAAAAAAAATATTACAAAAGAGTCATAATAAAACAATTATATTAAAATCTGTTGTGATTTTTAAAAAACAATTGTGTTATATATAGGTATACATACACTACAAACAAAATAGTTCTACCCTTCTTTTCTTGAGATAACAAGAAGGTATTTGAAAAGTTCTTGAAATATGCTTGAGGTTTGTCCTGAAAAGTCTGTAGATTCATTATCAATTTCAATATATTACACATCAGGATGTGACAGATTTCTTTGGGACAGAGACAATAGACAATATAATCAGAGAAGGCCAATTTAGCCATGCTGCAGTAATATTATTAATGGGGAATAAACCTTTTGAACTTGATCTATTAATTAGGATTAAACCATTAAAATAATAAATTTTAATGAGGATTAAACCATTTAAAATGAAACTAATGGGGTTTCCACCATAAAAACCATAAACAGTACATGGAATTTGTGTAAATGAGGATTTAACCATTAAAACCATTCGTATTAATTTGGATTAAAACATTTTAACTTGATCAATTAATGGGGATTAAACTATTAAATGTAGAAATATTAAATCATTGAGTATAAAGCATTAAAAAGTAAGAGTCACTAATGGAAAGTAAAGCATTAATCACTGTGTGAAAGGGCAATCTTTCATGTAGAAATCCTTGACTGATGCCCAGATATACAAAGTACAGAGAAGAATCTTATATTCACTATCAACACCTTGCTGCTGACATATAACTTTTGGAAGGCCTGGCGAGCTGACCCTGGCTTCATTGAAACTGATCGTACAGAGAAGATCCAGGTAAGATATCGCATAAAACTTACATTGACTGTTTCAATAGATAGAGATCACATCGTGAAATGACAACAGAACCTGTCAGTTTGTTGTCTCTCATCAGGCAGTATGCCAAACAGTGTACTAAAATATTTGTTCAGCTAATTCTTATACAGAGCAACATAAGATCAACTACAAAAATGAACATTCAAAATCATGAGATGAAATTATTTTGTAGTGTTGATAAACGCACAAAAATATGGTGCATCCTATGAAAAGATATTGTTGATTTGTTTTATAAAACAACACAAGGAGGTCAATAATGCTAGCAATGAGTTTAGAACGTTTCAACATTTCAAGTATGACAAAGTGCCAGAGTATTACATAAGCCTTTCAAATTGTGTTGTTACAGGAAAGCTCTTGCGAGACTCAAACTAGGTTGTCTCCCTTTATCTATAGAGACTGGTTGATACATAAATAACTCTTTGATAGAGAGACTGCCAAAACTGTTCTGGTGATATGCTGTCAGATATGAGTATATAATGTTATGTATTTTATAATAGATTACTTATCATTTTCTACTGTCTCATAAGCTGATATCGGCTGGACAACACTTTTAAATCACTGTATTCTATGTACTTTTATGTACAGTGATGTGTGGCATAAAAATTATGATGATGTGATTTGTACAGGTAATACTAGACCTGGCAGAAGACCAGACCTTGACCCTTCAGCAGTTCTGTAGCACCTGTCTGATACACCGCCCTATCCGGTCCAAGCACTGTAACACCTGCAACAGATGTGTGGCAAAAATGGACCACCACTGTCCCTGGATTGACAACTGTGTCGGTTAGTATGATCTCAGAACTGAATCAAACCTGTTTTGAAATACCACCTTTGAGAGATCCATTAGATATTCTTGTATTGCTTATTTAGATTTAACATGCATTAATGCTTAATTGACTTGCTAAGTGCCCAAAGTGCTTCATAATTTGTGTAAATAAGACAATTTTTTTCAAGTAAGTCTGTAAATTAGGGTGAAGGGATGGAACATTCAGACCAGAAAATAAAGTGCAGGCGTTTACTCTTGTTAGGTTGAATACTGTAGTACACGTACATGTTGTGGTAGTCCAATGGATTAGTTAATAGTATAGAATCAATGGTATAGTAGCTTTCTGAAGCATCAGGATCACGAATTCAAAATCTAATCATACACGGACAATATTTGATTTATGAAAATAGTACTAAGAGTGTATAATTTCATACTTTGAGCAGTAGGAATTTTGTAAATATTGAAAAATTCCCTTTGAAAACTCTCTGGTCCTAACATAATATCTCCCAGGTCCTGGTGATGGATGACTGGATGATTAAACCACTGGCGGGGGAGTGTCAATATATCTGTTTTTAGGCTGGTCCTACTTCAGTAGGTTATCCTAGACTAGCTCTATCATCAGCCGAATCCTGTCTGATGATTGGTTGAATTTGGCGATTTCCCTATTATGCCCCCAATATATTTAGTTCCAGATTACCGCCAGATTTCAAAAGTATATCCTATGTGTATGAAATCAATATAAAATCAAACAATCGTTGACAGAATTCTGTTAACACGGTACGGTTAGATATTCCTACCATTAATAAGAATGGAATTTGCGTCAAATACGATCTCAGTTAGTATTACTAAATGTGGATTGTACCTATTGTGTTTATCAGTTAAGGTAAACATCTGGTCAGTCAGATTAGGCGGATAATTTGAACACACTTTTGATTTATTATATCTGCAGGTGCTGACAATCACAAGTATTTCATTGGATATCTGTTTTTCCTGTTCGGTATGATATGCTGGTGTTTCCATGGATGCCAGATTTGTAAGTAAAATATGAAATCTCCTTTGAAACCATTTATTTATCAAAGACACCTGTTTTTTAATCAGCCTTGATTGTTTAAATATATAATGACAAGTGTGAATGATTAACAATATGTGTGATCATTTTGGTACTCACATGTAATCAAACTAAAGTTGATATACCCCATGTGAGGCCATGTGGGTGCCTCTTAAAAGACACTGATGAAGAAATCTAAAAAAACCTTGTAAGGTTCCCTCAAAGACCGTTTAAGATGAAACAATGTTGGGAGGGGGGGATGTTTGCTATATTTTTGCTGCATTTAAAAGGGCGTCATTGACTGATGATCAATATAGATTATTAAATGAATAAAACATCCATGTATTGAATATTTTACGTATTCATGTTTTTCTTTCTAGACTGGAGTCATGTGTGTCCATTCGATGTCTATGTTGACGGTATAACAGGTATTATCTATAAGATCGTAAAAGCGTCACCGTGGGTCGCCTGGATTGCCCTCAACTCCCTTGGCCACATGCTGTGGGTTGGCATTTTGCTAACCTGTCAGCTTTATCAGGTTAGATTTTGATGGAGTTGTTTCTGAAATTTCTGCAAAAAAAATCTGACAAGATGGCTCATCAAATCAGAGGCATTATTAGTTTTCATATGATAATTTCTTTTAAATTCTTTAACTAAATGACCTAAATTTGCTAAAATAAAAATTCTAAGCTTAGTAAAACAATCATTTCTGAACTCACTAAACAGAAAAGTTCTGCTGATATTACAAAAAAAATCTATGCTTGGTTAATTATAAATTTCGAAGCTCACTATGATGAAAACATGTGAGCACATAAAAAGAAAACCATGTTCACTAAAATGTAAATTGCTAAAATGAATTCTTGTAAGCTCACTTAAATAGTGACTTCTTGACTAGCTAAGTTTACCCCATTTCATGCCCTACTTAATTGATATTTGTTTTACTACTGTAATACGTGTATTTATGAAGTTAGGACTTCACCGAGTTCAATGTATCTCTAAGGTTTGTTAAACCCTTTCTCCTTGTGTTTAGATTATATGGTTAGGCATGACTACCAATGAGAGGATCAACTTTGTGAAATATGAATACCTACATGACAAAGAGGCCAAAGCACAGGAACTGGCTCAGAGTCAAGGTCACGGTCACAGTCATGGAGGTCATGGTCACGGACACCAAACTTTTCATGGAGGACCTAAAGCCAAATCAAAAAATCCCTTCTAGTGAGTATCACCTGAAAACCACATATTTATTACTTTTATTGTCTTTCTGGCTGGTTACATATATTTTGCTTCTGAATTTCCAAAATTGAATTTGTCTGATCAGTGTAATTGATATTTCTTATCTTTAATTATTCATTTTTTTTTTTTTTAAATGTACTGACCCAAATTAGTCATGCACACTTTGAAAAGGCTTCACAATCATACATGTACATGTTGCATATAATTCAGTTTAAGTTAGGGGTACATGTTAATCTTTCACTTTACATTATAATTGTTAGATCATCAAGGACATTGAGCATGGTGTAAAATCATGTTCAGTTGAGTGATTGATTTAAGGCTGTAATGAAATTAGTGTGAATCTTGAGGTGTTAAGTTACATTGACAAATGGTGTCATAACTCAAAAATGTAGAGTCGTTTGTGCAATTAATTCGAAGTTGTAAATCATTGTTATATGAAAGGAGATGTCCAGCTTTACATTAAAGAGAAAATAATGGCTTCATAACGGAGCCACATGTTGATTTTTTGGATATATGCTACTATGAACATAGAAATAAATTTAAATCATATCAATTATTCCAGTATACTTGAAAGTGGGGGAAAAGACAATTCCATTTCAGTTGCACGAAAATGAAGTTTTATACAACAATTTTGAGGAAAAAAGCAATGTATGTACAATTTTATTTACAGTCGTGGAATGTTTAAGAACGCAGTGGATCTGTTTGGCTGGCGTCTTTGTGGATTGCTACGGCCCAATAAGCTTGACTATCGACACCTGTTTGTACTGCCTGGTGAGGAGGCAGCCGTGTCAAAGAGGCTCAAATTCAATGTGAACCGGGAAAACTACCAGTTTGTGTAGAGATGTGAACAAGGAAAATCAGCTGTTATTCTGGTGATCAGATAAAAGCATTGAATGGCTACTCTCAGGACCTCCCCCCTTTTGGTCATTTTGTTTTAACGTATACCTTTTTTTGAACTTTATGCCTTAAACTATTTTTATTTATTCAATAAGAAAAAAAGGAAATGTATACTTCTCAATTTCTTCAGCTGATCAATTTGAATATAAACTAGCCTCTTTTTATAGCCTGAGAGTTTAAGCACGATTACATTTTTATTTTTTCTGTAAATTTGTTTAATTTCATTCAGAAAAAAACATATCTTAGGATTAAACCTGTCTTTCCTGACACCACTGGGACTGAATCAGTGTGTTGGATATGTATCAGTAAGCCTGTCTTTAGTGACATCAAGTCTCAATTTCTTCAGCTGATCAATTTGAATATAAACTAGCCTCTTTTTATAGCCTGAGAGTTTAAGCACGATTACATTTTTATTTTTTCTGTAAATTTGTTTAATTTCATTCAGAAAAAAACATATCTTAGGATTAAACCTGTCTTTCCTAACACCACTGGGACTGAATCAGTGTGTTGGATATGTATCAGTAAGCCTGTCTTAAGTGACATCAAGGGGCACTGAATCAGCTTGTTGGATATGTACCAGTAAGCCTGTCTTAAGTGACATCAAGGGGCACTGAATCAGCTTGTTGGATATGTATCAGTAAGTCTGGCTTTAGTGACATCAAGGGGCACTGAATCAGCTTGTTGGATATGTACCAGTAAGCCTGTCTTAAGTGACATCAAGGGGCACTGAATCAGCTTGTTGGATATGTCTCAGTAAGCCTGTCTTTAGTGACATCAAGTCTCAATTTCTTCAGCTGATCAATTTGAATATAAACTAGCCTCTTTTTATAGCCTGAGAGTTTAAGCACGATTACATTTTTATTTTTTCTGTAAATTTGTTTAATTTCATTCAGAAAAAAACATATCTTAGGATTAAACCTGTCTTTCCTGACACCACTTGGACTGAATCAGTGTGTTGGATATGTATCAGTAAGCCTGTCTTAAGTGACATCAAGGGGCACTGAATCAGCTTGTTGGATATTTATCAGTAAGCCTGTCTTTAGTGACATCAAGTCTCAATTTCTTCAGCTGATCAATTTGAATATAAACTAGCCTCTTTTTATAGCCTGAGAGTTTAAGCACGATTACATTTTTATTTTTTCTGTAAATTTGTTTAATTTCATTCAGAAAAAAACATATCTTAGGATTAAACCTGTCTTTCCTGACACCACTGGGACTGAATCAGTGTGTTGGATATGTATCAGTAAGCCTGTCTTAAGTGACATCAAGGGGCACTGAATCAGCTTGTTGGATATGTCTCAGTAAGCCTGTCTTTAGTGACATCAAGTCTCAATTTCTTCAGCTGATCAATTTGAATATAAACTAGCCTCTTTTTATAGCCTGAGAGTTTAAGCACGATTACATTTTTATTTTTTCTGTAAATTTGTTTAATTTCATTCAGAAAAAAACATATCTTAGGATTAAACCTGTCTTTCCTGACACCACTTGGACTGAATCAGTGTGTTGGATATGTATCAGTAAGCCTGTCTTAAGTGACATCAAGGGGCACTGAATCAGCTTGTTGGATATTTATCAGTAAGCCTGTCTTTAGTGACATCACGGGGCACTCAATCAGTTTGTTGGATATGTATCAGTAAGTCTATCTTTAGTGACATCAAGGGGCACTGAAGCAGCTTGTTGGATATGTATCAGTAAGCCTGTCTTAAGTGACATCAAGGGGCACTGAATCAGCTTGTTGGATATTTATCAGTAAGCCTGTCTTTAGTGACATCACGGGGCACTCAATCAGTTTGTTGGATATGTATCAGTAAGTCTGTCCTTAGTGACATCAAGGGGCACTGAATCAGCTTGTTGGATATTTATCAGTAAGCCTGTCTTTAGTGACATCACGGGGCACTCAATCAGTTTGTTGGATATGTATCAGTAAGTCTGTCCTTAGTGACATCAAGGGGCACTGAATCAGCTTGTTGGATATGTATCCGTAAGCCTGAGTTTAGTGACATCAAGGGGCACGGAATCAGTTTGTTGGATATGTATCAGTAAGGCTGTCTTTAGTGACATCAGGGGGCACTGAGGCGGTTTGTTGGATATGTATCAGTAAGCCTGTCGTTAGTGACATCAAGGGCCACTGAATCAGTTTGTTGGATATGTATCAGTAAGTCTATCTTTAGTGACATCAAGGGGCACTGAATCAGATTGTTGGATATGTATCAGTAAGCCTGTCTTAAGTGACATCAAGGGGCACTGAATCAGCTTGTTGGATATGTCTCAGTAAGCCTGTCTTTAGTGACATCAAGTCTCAATTTCTTCAGCTGATCAATTTGAATATAAACTAGCCTCTTTTTATAGCCTGAGAGTTTAAGCACGATTACATTTTTATTTTTTCTGTAAATTTGTTTAATTTCATTCAGAAAAAAACATATCTTAGGATTAAACCTGTCTTTCCTGACACCACTGGGACTGAATCAGTGTGTTGGATATGTATCAGTAAGCCTGTCTTAAGTGACATCAAGGGGCACTGAATCAGCTTGTTGGATATTTATCAGTAAGCCTGTCTTTAGTGACATCACGGGGCACTCAATCAGTTTGTTGGATATGTATCAGTAAGTCTATCTTTAGTGACATCAAGGGGCACTGAATCATTTTGTTGGATATGTATCAGTAAGCCTGTCGTTAGTGACATCAAGGGCCACTGAATCAGTTTGTTGGATATGTATCAGTAAGTCTGTCCTTAGTGACATCAAGGGGCACTGAATCAGCTTGTTGGATATGTATCAGTAAGTCTGGCTTTAGTGACATCAAGGGGCACTGAATCAGCTTGTTGGATATGAATCAGTAAGCCTGTCTTTAGTGACATCAAGTCTCAATTTCTTCAGCTGATCAATTTGAATATAAACTAGCCTCTTTTTATAGCCTGAGAGTTTAAGCACGATTACATTTTTATTTTTTCTGTAAATTTGTTTAATTTCATTCAGAAAAAAACATATCTTAGGATTAAACCTGTCTTTCCTAACACCACTGGGACTGAATCAGTGTGTTGGATATGTATCAGTAAGCCTGTCTTTAGTGTCATCAAGGAGCACTGAATCAGTTTGTTGGATATGTATCAGTGAGTCTGTCTTTAGTGACATCAAGGGGCACGGAATCAGTTTGTTGGATATGTATCAGTAAGTCTGTCCTTAGTGACATCAAGGGGCACTGAATCAGCTTGTTGGATATGTATCCGTAAGCCTGTCTTTAGTGACATCAAGGGGCACGGAATCAGTTTGTTGGATATGTATCAGTAAGTCTGTCCTTAGTGACATCAAGGGGCACTGAATCAGCTTGTTGGATATGTGTCGGTAAATTCTGATTTGACGACAGAAAAGCCAGTCATATGAGACCATGAGATCCTCTTATATTTACACGAAGTCCAAAAAGTCAGGTGTAAGTAAAATCAGGTCTTGCTCTAATTGATATAAATACAGTAATGTTTTGTATTCTGCATAAAATGTTTTCAGTCTGAAAAGAAAAAAATGAATAAGATACAGAGCATGAGTGAAGAAAAATCATCTGCTTGAAGTTTTGTGTAAATGGTATTGTTACTGTTATCAGAGTAAGTGTAAAGATGGTGTGTGTTGGCAGTGAGACTGGTTAATGTTTGTACACAGAACAAGTGAGACTGGTTAATGTTTATACACAGAACAAGTTGAGATTATTGTTGTAGTTTACTAATGTGTGAAAAGTCTATAACATTCTTGCAATGTGATTCATTATTGTACTACAAGGTTCTGCAATTTTTTTTTGTGTTTTATTACTTTTGCTATTTTACATAAAAATCATGAATTCACAGGATTTATTCTATTTATACGTAATCTGTTGGTAGGCAGACATATGATAGAAGCATAAATTACATTCACTAGAAATCTTGATATGTAGGTGTTCATGTTGGCAAAACTCAATGTTTGTAACAAGAAATAAGAAGTGAAGAACAAGTTTATATACAAAGAGGTGTAATGTGACACGTGTCCCCGTCCCACTGTCTGAATATGTGTATTAACATAAAGAGTACCACCAAGTTTAAATATCTCATAACCACTAATATGAAATATGACATTGTGTTCAAGTCATTTTGTACAAAATTATTCCACAAAAGTGGAACTTTGTGGTTTAAACTAGTGCAGAAGTACCGTTAACATTACTATATATAATACATTGTACATGATATACAGACCGTGTGATTTGGGATCTGTGCTATGATTCTTTGTTTATAATAAACCAAGGGGACATCAAAATTTAAGTTTGCTATTTTAATATTTAATTAGTTGTAGAATTTAATAAGCAATTCCTTGCCAGCTGTTTGAACTAATTGTAAGCAAGTGATTTGAATCAGCGTGATTATACTAAGGGGAGACGGATACTGTATCCTTGTTCAGATTAAATATATAAATCATACAGTCCTTCACAAAACCAATGAAATCCAAAAACCATAAAATATTTATCACTTGTGTATCAATGGAATTACTTTTAGAACATTTTGTTGTGTGTAATGAAAAAATGTAATATGCCGACCGTGAATCAAGATAGCATAACAAACTGAGGAGTGTTATATCTAGATTTTACTGTACTCAAATGGAAATGTGTATCCGGTTGAATGTTTTTGTTAAAATATAGACAGTTGTCAGTTTGAACAACGTAGAAAAGATGAAGTCCTTAATTTCAGAAATAATTGTACGTTGTTAAAATACATACAGTTCACCTCACCTCAGAAAGGTTTAAGATGTTTGACAAAGTAAATAATTTTACCAAATAAACCATAAGATACCAAATATGTATTGTTTATACAGTGGATGCCTGTAGAAACATAATTGTGGTTGACTGGTGGTGATGGTGGGGGTGGTGACACAAAATACCTCCATGCAGCCCCATCAACTGGGTATATTCCTTGTTGGAATAGCACTTATTGTTGAACTTTGAAACTTTTTCTTTAAGTTCTGCATTTTCTCTTTTATATTTTGATCTTTTTTTATTGTCTGTATGTAACATGTTACCATACACAGTGGTCTTTAAATGAAGCAGTTTCATCAGCATAAAGATTATTTATATAACCAATAAAACTCATAGAATAGACAAACATTTAACTGATCAAATCTATTTATTTCTGTTTCTTCGCTTTGTAGTTTTGATATTTTTATTCTTACATTGAACATTGAAAAATAAACATGTATATATGTTGATCATATATATAATCTACCATGTCATAAGTGAATGAAATGCATTATGGAATAAAACACTGTGACCTATATAATCCAATACATGTTTGGCTGTTCCTTTGACTTGTCATGT